TAAGAAAATGGAAAATAATGTAAGCTAAGATTTTACATTCCTGAGTTCAGATGAGGTACCATTACATTATTAGTGGTAATGTTGCACAGACAGAGCGGCAACGGTTGAAATGCTAATTATAACCATTGAAATGCTAATTATAACCATTGAAATGCTAATTATAACCATTGAACAGCCAATTAGATAAAGTTCTGTTTTGATAGTATATGATTAAATTTTAACAAATCATTTTATTTCACTTTTTTAAAAAAATTATTTGAATATTTTTTTATTTTTCTAAATTTAAGTAAAGTAAATTCATCAGGAAAACTATGATTCACATTAAGATTTTTAAAACCAGCTAAGAGTTCTCTCCACATCTAGAAGATATGACTTCAGGTTCATGCTCTTAGGCTTATCATTTCTATTTAATTTGAGAGAATAATGAAAAAACATATTGGTACTTGGTATAGCTAGTTCATGCTCATAGGCATATTATTTCTATTTAATTTGAGAGAATAATGAAAATACATATTGGTACTTGGTATAGCTAGTTCATGCTCATAGGCATATTATTTCTATTTAATTTGAGAGAATAATGAAAATACATATTGGTTATTGGTACGGTTAGTTCATGCTCATAGGCATATTATTTCTATTTAATTTGAGAGAATAATGAAAATACATATTGGTACTTGCTATAGCTAGTTCATGCTCATAGGCATATTATTTCTATTTAATTTGAGAGAATAATGAAAATACATATTGGTTATTGGTACGGTTAGTTCATGCTCATAGGCATATTATTTCTATTTAATTTGAGAGAATAATGAAAATACATATTGGTACTTGCTATAGCTAGTTCATGCTCATAGGCATATTATTTCTATTTAATTTGAGAGAATAATGAAAATACATATTGGTACTTGCTATAGCTAGTTCATGCTCATAGGCATATTATTTCTACTTAATTTGAGAGAATAATGAAAATACATATTGGTACCGGGTATGGTTAGTTCATGCTCTTAGGCATATTATTTCTATATAATCAGAGAGAATAATGGAAATGCAAATTGGTACTAGGTATACTGTAGCTAGTTCATGCTCATAGGCATATTATTTCTTTTCAATTTTAGAGAATAATGAAAAAACATATTGGCACTGGGTATAGCCAGTTCATGCTCATAGGCATATTATTTCTATTTGATTCAAGAGTGTAATGCCTGGGTCACATTTGCTCTGATCCATCAGCTGGCGCTTACCCGATTGTGTTTTGTTCAATATTTTATTCGATTTTGAACAAAATACTCAATCGGTCGGGTGCCGTAGTGAAAATCAGAGCAAATGTAACCAAGGCATAAAGGAAATTCATATTTAAAGGGATCCAACACCTTGCAAAACTTCTTAACGAAGAGGAATAAGGGAAAATGTTTGCCGGATTCTGAATCTGTGTATTTTTTAATGATTTTTCACCGTCTTGGAATTTCAATTTTTTTCCTTTGAAAAAATGAGATTTGCATTGTTTTCCAATTAGACAAATGAGTAAACATGAATAGCTCGAAATCTAACGGTGAGATTTTGTTTTAAAAAATCATGGATATCAAGGCTAAATACAGCTATACAATAAACATAAAAAAGCAATGCTTGGACTCTTCATATTCACACAAAAAATTAATTAGTAAATGAGGTTTGATATTTGTGAGAATAAGTTGTACGAGTCCCAATGCTCTACAAACACCAGACTACAGGGTGGATTAGGATCAATGACACACATAAAAACATTTCATGATAATTATCTCAAACAAAAGCAGTTAGCGAAGGATACATTTCATTACACTCAATAAATAGTTATCACTTTTGACTATATATACATATCTCATGGGAATGTATTTCCATCTGCTCAAGATATCATATTTTAGCTTCGAAAATCACAATCGTAATAATACATTTGTCTCAGAATGATAGGCCACCCTGTAGCAATGTAGCTTTCACTTGAAGTGTACCCTTGAGAATAATGAACTTACTTTCAAATTGGTCTTGCTTTTGTGGTGTATGTGGCTTTTTAGCAAATCTGCCACGCTCACAATGATGATTACATTATACCTCTTGTTGTAATATGAACTGCCTTTACCTTATGATCAATTACCTCTTGTTAAAGAGATTAATATTTAACTTATATTCTGATATGAAACCAAAAATTACAATATCAAATATTCTCATATTTTCAAATAATTACCATTCTAAAAAATAGACTGTTTACAGTAGAATTGTTTCAAAGATGTCAATCTATTCTTCAAAATAGCCAATATTACCTTGTTGCAATGCAAGTTGCCTGGATGTCTGTCTCGGAATGTTAGCCACTTCAGTCATCCTGATAAGGTTAGCTTTCACACAAGTATAGATTTGACTTTGTTGTATATCCAAAGATAGGTATTTTAAATTAGATTTTGAAATTCTGCTTCTGTTATCGATGTTATGTCTGCTGGCACTGTCATTAAGACTGATGTTAATAAAGTTTGTCGCTGATCTCATAAAACTTTTGAATTTAATCCAATTAATTAACATTTTTAGATTTCCTTTGATACTGAAGAAAGACAGTCAATTTGGCTCTTGCCTAATCCTAAGCATAAATACATGTACAGGGATGATGATGTTTCAAAAATTATGTTTTGGATATTTTCAGTCTAATCTCCCTAATTATCATTATAAAATGTTTTTGATATTGAAGAAGAAGCAGTTATTTGGGCCCTTGTTTAATCCATAACATATACAAGAGGCAGGAAATACTTTCTTTGATGTTTCATAATTTAGTTTTGCATCTTTTGTAAGACAGGATTTTTCTTCAGTTATCTAGAAATAATATGCCTATGAGCATGAACTTGATGTCATATCTAGTGCTATAACTGAACAAACCTTATTCTTTTCAATTAAATAAAATGCCCATGAGCATGAACTTGAAATCATACCTCCATGAGCATGAACTAGGCTGTATACCAAGTACTGATATGCATTTCCATTATTCTCTGCAATTAAATAGAATTAATATGCCTATGAGCATGAACTAGCTATACCAAGTACCAATATGCATTTCCATTATTCTCTGCAATTAAATAGAATTAATATGCCTATGAGCATGAACTAGCTACAGTATACCAAGTACCAATATGCATGTTTCATTATTCTCTCAAATTAAAAAGAAATAATATGCCTATGAGCATGAACTAACCATACCTAGTACCAATATGCATTTCCATTATACTCTCCAATTAAATAGAAATAATATGCATATGAGCATGAACTAACCATACCTAGTACCAATATGCATTTCCATTATACTCTCCAATTAAATAGAAATAATATGCATATGAGCATGAACTAACCATACCTAGTACCAATATGCATTTCCATTATACTCTCCAATTAAATAGAAATAATATGCATATGAGCATGAACTAACCATACCTAGTACCAATATGCATTTCCATTATACTCTTCAATTAAATAGAAATAATATGCCTATGAGCATGAACTAACCATACCCGGTACCAATATGTATTTTCATTATTCTCTCAAATTAAATAGAAATAATATGCCTATGAGCATGAACTAGCTATACCAAGTACCAATATGCATTTCCATTATTCTCTGCACTTAAATAGAATTAATATGCCTATGAGCATGAACTAGCTATACCAAGTACTGATATGCATTTCCATTATTCTCTGCAATTAAATAGAATATTAATATGCCTATGAGCACGAACTAGCTATACCAAGTACCAATATGCATTTCCATTATTCTCTCCAATACTCCTATTCGCGATAAGAGTTAATCTACATAAATATCTCCCATGATGCATCGCTTTGGAAGGGACAGTAACATTATTTATATTTTTTCGCTCTTCGATAGCGTCTGATCAATTTCTGGGATATCAGTGACGTCACTGGAATTGGACGGCATTTTCAACTACAGATTTCTTCAGATTTGGGGATTATAGTTCAAAAGGCTGTGTCATATATCTTAATTACATACATACCCCTCGTTTGTGCAAATGAAACTCTACATTAATGTTTAATAGAGTTGCAGTGCGGCATTGAAAATAGCACCCCTGTGTAATCCAATGCGAAAGAACCTGGATGTAGACGAAGTTGTACCTTACATGAGAACTCTTCAAATGGGAGTTAACTAAACTTAACTAAATTAAACGTTATCGCGTTTTGGTATATTAAATAGAAATAATAATCTCCCCAATTAAATAGAAGAAATAATATGCCTATGAGCATGAACTAACCATACCCACCAATATGTATTTTCATTATTATCTGCAATTGAATATCTGGTGCCAAAACTGAACATGTATAATGATAAAGGTTATAAAACTTAAGTTGTACTTACCTCTTTATAAAGCATGACAGTTGGTATATACAATTCAACAGCATCAACAAAACCAAATAATCCTACTAAAAAGTAAAAATTATTCTAATATACAATATATTAAAATCTACTTGAATGGTCAAAATGTAATATATACATAACAATAATACATGAAGAATACTGAATATCAAAGTACAAGCCCATAGCCAGCATAGCAAGGGGGTTGAAGTTTTATTTTTAATTTCCAGGTAGTTCACATTTGACATTTTTTGCCCAATATTGTTAAAACCCATAATAGGGGAAATACATGTAATGTTGTAGACATGCTGTGGCAGCATATACATTATACAATGCTCTCAACAATTCTTCTGACAAAATGGCAAAAAAAGTTTAAAACTGCATGATTTCAAGAGAAATCTTTGACCAGGGGGTTGCGGGTAAGTTCCCCATGGCTATTGGGCTTGCAATACATAAGTGTCTATCAGTTAATGATTGTAAATCTTATAATTTCCCTTAAATCCTATTATACCTGGTATTGATTCAGGTATGGATATATGTATAATGATTTAATGCAGCCAATAAGGCTAGTTATTATATAAGGAAAAATGACAATGAGTGCTTTGGTAATCCATCTAATAGATATTAATTTTCAGTGTAGTTGTTTTTGACTAGATGTAACATTAGGTTTGCTGGATTAATCATACATGTAACAACAAATCATTGGATGGAGCAAGTAGAGTGAATTCAGTACCTGTAGTTTTTTTCAAAATATTCAATTAGAATGTAGCATGAGTAACAATAGAATGAAAAACTAAGAAAGTCAGAATTATTTAAGGATATTCATATTACATCAGAAGGATGAAAAGAGGACCCTACAAAAGATGGTTAGCTAAGGAAGCACCTGTACCAAAATCAACAAAGTATTCGACGACAAAAGATTTTCAAGAGAAAGTTGTTAGTTCAAAGCCTGATTTATATGATAAGTTGGATGAAGATGATGACTGGAGTATACTTAAAACATTTGAATGTAAAGACACCCCCATCTATGAGAATGCCAACATTACAACATCAGATAGTGTAATGCTCCTAATGGATTTTATGCTATCGAATAATCTGTCAGGAACAGTTGTTGATCATCTGCTCAAAATCCTGAGACTCCATCTCCCCAAAGAGGCCAATCCAAGTCATTTACGTTCTTTGTACTTCCTGAAGAAATATTTTGGACTTATGAATAGAACAAATGGCGACTTCAAAATACATGATATATGCAGCAAATGCCTGGATCTATTTAGAGATGAGAGTCAGACATGCCAAAATCCACATTGTGATGCCAACAAAAGATACATGAATGAGATTGGAGGGCGAGAAAAAAAGCCTAGGGAATTTTTTCTTGAGTTCGACATAAGCCATCAAATCCAGGAATTTTTCAAAGGTATGTATAAGCATCCCCCAACTCCTGACTACGGGCCAATCAAGGTTACTTCTACAGGAAGTAAACTATAAAAACTCTTGTTTGGTGATTTTGACAAATATTTATTGAATTGACGCAAGTGGGACGGAACAGAAAATAAGACTACTTTATGCTCATTGCTCACATAGTTTACTTACTGAACATAGCTTGCTGATGGTAGAGAATTCTTTACCTAACTGCAAATTAATTAACATTGTTGATGTAGTCTATGTGAATGTTAGTAAGCTTAGTATAAAACGCTATATTTCTGAAAATGTACAAATTATACACTTCCATTTGACAATGTATATGAAGAGCTCTGGAGTTAATCCAAGTTGCCTAACCTGATGATTCAAGGTTGTCTGTCTGGTAAAATGTGAAGAATTTGGTAGTTTATTTCTGTTTTCACTTCAGATCCAGAGTTCAGAAAAAACATCAACTACAGATTCACAGTGCCAACAGATGGAGAGTCATACAGAGATATATATGATGGTCATATATATCAAAAGATCAAGGAAAGTTCTTATGCTGATAACCCTTACAATCTCACAATGGTCTATCATATTGATGGGGCAAGGCCATTTAATAGTAGTGGGAAGGAAGTATGGCCATTCCAAGGTTTCATCAATGAGCTGCCCCCATATCTAAGGTAAGTTTGTCACAAAGAATTCTAGAACCTACATGTAATGATCATATTTGTAAATAATATCACGCAGAAAATGTGGTATCAATACATGATTTATGTAGCATGCATTTAAAGTTTAAAACACAACCATATTACCAATGGTTTTTCAAACAATTGAAAAAAATATCAAAAGCAGTAAGGGATGGTCCAAATATCAACAGTTCTGGATTAACGAAGTTAGTTTCATTATTCTCTAACCCACCCCCTCCCTCCCCCTGTCTATCTATCTTTTGCATTTGTTTGACTTCGCAAGAGAGGTTCATTAACTAGACTCTGCACACAGGGTAGGCTCTATCAGGCTATACATGTATGATACTCAAATGAAAAGTAAGTTAAAAACAGGAACCCTAATTTTTCTTGTAAGGGAAATTCATAATTGTTGGTAATTTGCCACAATGATTTGGGAGATATCTGCAAGGATACATGTATAGTGGTTTTATGTATTTAATTTGTAGACATAATCATAGATAGGGTAACTTTCTAACAAACGCCCTTTGAAATTAGAAGTAGTCAGTCTGATTGCATAATCACTATCAAAACATCCTTAGAAGGTAATAATAATTTGGAATAACATTTGACTGATTTGTCTTATCATTGACTCACAATGTTATGATAAATACGGGTATTTTGATTCCAAGAGACCAAACAGTGTTAAGATTCATATGTTAGATTACTTCAAAAATCATTGATGAAAAGACTATAGAAGCAAGTAGAAATAATATTGATTGACATCATTAGAAATTCAAAATTCAGTCAGAATTTAAAATTACATTTAGAAATGTGGTTTAAAAAAGTGTTTATCAACTTTGTAGATACAGTATAATTTCCTTTTACCCATTCATTTGACTTCACTTCTTAAAAGAGAGCTTCGTCTTCACTCTTTCAAACTAAAATAAACCTGAGAACTCACCACGCCAATGAGTGTTCGTCGGCCAAATTTGACCGACGTTCTATATATGGTCATTCTTTCTGACGTCATCGTTGAGCCCGGAATTGGCCAATGACATGCGCATATTTAATTAGAACACATTTGGCGTATGTTGTAAAGGGGCTTTCTTAATCAACCCTTATATAACAAAATGGAGGATCGCTGCATCGATCAGAAAACTAATTTTAAATACTTCATTTCAGGTATTCAAAAGAGTTTACTCTTGTCACTGGTATGTGGTTTGGGAAGCAGAAACCTAACATGATAACCTTCATGGCTCCACTTGCCAAGAGCATGAATGCTGTATATCAGAAAGGTGCCAGAAATGTTCTCTTAATAATACCTTTTCATCATATTTCCCAGTACAGGAACAAATCTCTTTATCTAAATGACATAATACTATTATATAGTTCTATTAAAGTGTTCCACTACATCCATTTGTTTACAAAAATGAAATGAAATGATTTTAGTGTGACATTTATAATATTGATTATAGATGCATTGAAAAATTGAATTACTTAATTAATATCACAGGACTAATGATCTCCCCATCCAGTAGTAAATTCTGTAAATCGAAACACCTTCTAAATTCTACACTTTGTAGGTGTCACTGTTCACCCATTAGAAGATGGTAGAGGGTTTGAAGCCAAATCATCACTAATGCTTCTCACTGGAACTATGGACCTTCCAGCAATGAGCCTAGCTAAGGAGTTGACAATGTTCAATGGTGCATTTGGCTGTGGAATATGTCTGAGTGAGGGCGAAACTACAAAAACTGGTATGTATTATTATAATGAAAGTTGGGACTATTAACATGCATGTACACATACCATGAGCTATCATAGCTTTTTGTTATTTTTTATTTCAAATATGGTATTACTTCCAGTGAATTCGAAAAACTATTTGAATGTACAAGTTGAATCTTTAACTAGATGGGGTGACAGTAATAGATTAAACAAACTTTTTTTTATATTTTGTGTAGGTAAGGGCTATTCAAGAGTCTATCCCTTTCCTGAAGGTGGTGTTATGGCAGAGATAAGGAGTGACAAGCAAATGAAGCGTGATGCGAAGCTGGCACTAGACAGAAATGGTCCGGTAAGTTAATTCTATAACAGGGGATTGTTGCAGTTCAATTACATAACAATTAACAACAAAGCAGTGACCTTAATAACATCGGTGTCTATTGTATCCCAAGTCAAAAACTTGAATATGATTGAAATACATCTCACAGTTACATGTCTTTTAAATGCATATCTATTTAGACTCTGGCAGCTATTTATGACAAATTGTATCATCCTTTGCATAAATGTTCATTATCTCACATTTATTAACCCACCAAATAAACTTCATAGGGATATAGAGAAGCCCTCCTTTCTTTCATCAGTCCAGACAATAACTCACATACTAACCTTTGCATTCCTTTGACTTCACTTCTTAAAAGAGAGCAGGGTACTCGAATACATGTTGACAGATTTGATTCAATTCTACATGCTTATGCATTATGCCAGAACCTCTGCTCAAGAAGAAATTTTCAATATGGCCACTCAATTCAAAATGGCCACCATTGTAAATATACAAAGATGGCATATTTATATAATTTAGGTAAATGGTGTGAAGGGCCACAGTGGTTTATGGCTGTATGAAAATCACTGTGATATGGACCATATCGTCTCCATAGACTACATGCATGGAGCCCTCATTGGTGTAGGGAAAAATCTATTAAAGTATTGGACGAACCCCAAATACAAGAACGAGGATTTCTTTCTTGGACATCACATAGATGAGATAAACCAAGAGATAGGAAAGGTGACCCTCACAAATGACTTCTCCAGAATGCCTCGACCTATCGATCAGTATAAAGACTGGAAAGGTAAAAAACAATACATCATTTTCAAACATAAAGTACATTTAGCCCACAATAAGAAATGACTTATTTGACTAGCCAATCCATTCACAGTTATAGATCTATTATAAATTAATTCACATATAGCTAGGCAAGTTGTGTCCAATTTCAGCCAATCAGAATATGCTATTTCACGTAACCACATTCCTTTATGTAATCAATGACAAACTCAAGGTCAAAAATTAAACAGTTGTCATGATGATGACTGGACTTGCCAGCTTGACCCTTGCAAAAGGTTTCATTGAAAATATATTCTTTAATGATGTTGTGTATTTTAGATTTTTTTAAAAAAATATTTAGCAATTTTAGAAATAAATTTAAGCCTGACAGTCAATGCATTGTGTAATGACCATTTTTTCAGGTGTTGTTTCCTAAAATTATCGCTTGATGCTCCACATATCATACAAATTTTGGCAAGCAGCACCTTCAAGGAATGGTCATTCCACATTGCACTGAGTCCAGTGCTTAAATCCTTAAATGTGTATTTTGTGTTTTAAAATGTTTTGCAGCTAATGAATTGAAGGCATTCATTTTGTATTGGGGACCAATCATACTGGAGAGGTTCATGGAGGATGAATTCTTTGAGCACTTTATAATGCTGTCTAGTGGATTATATCTTATGACAACAGACAATGTGACCCAAGAAGACCTTGCTAAGGCCGATCAACTAATGCAGAAGTTTGTCTTTCTTATGGAAGACTACTATGGTAATTTAATTGCAATTTGCTTAGAAATAGACACATTGGAAAGTTCATAGGATTTCCAGAAAATTATACATATTCAAATTGAAGGTTATCATTACAATCTACAAACATAAGATTGACTTTAAGATATGATTGACCAATTGAATCATGCATGATACATTTAAGACAAAAATGCTCAAGATTATATTTCATAGATGTCATTGTCTTATTTATGCTTGCTGGACTTATGTGTTTATCATGTCATGGGTAGCTTTCTAGTGCAGACAACATTATAATAAATAAAATTCTCTTTTCAGGCAAATCAAGCATGACAATCAATGTTCACAATTTACTTCATTATAAGCAATGTGTAATACAGACAGGACCTCTGTGGGGAACAAGTTGCTTCGCAGGGGAGAGCAATTGTGGCTTTTTTATGGATCTCATTCACAGCCCGAATCAGTATGCTTTACAGGTCCGTTTATCTACTAACTTTGAAAACTCAAATTGAAAATGACAGAAAGATTACATGAAGTCAACTTTTATATTTATTAAGTTACTTGCATTTTCCTATATTTACAAATTCTTCCAATTTTATCTTTTGTTTTTCCTTTTCTGAAATAAAGAAACGCCTGATCATCAGATTCTGTTTCAAAATAAATTTTGTTAATTAGAAAAGTTATCATATAGAGACCTTCCATATTAATGAATTTAGATTAATTATTGAGGTGGTATTAACCATTGTTTCATTACATGTCAGATCATATTTTGTGATAATTTGGTCTTGCTTCTCTGATGACTAGTTGTTCTTGTTTATTTTTACCTTCTTCCTTTTGGTTCTGCATGCATTTTTCATATTCAATGCATCTTTTCAGATTCTGACAGCAATAAGATCCTTGCGACGAATGAAGACGATGATGAAGATTATTACAAATGAAGATGTGATGAATGTACTACAAAAGGAAAAGGTGGAAAGGTATTTGTTTTTATTAATTCTTACAAGATCAGTATACAATGTATATTAGGTGAACAAAAATATATAAACATAATATGAATTCCTTTTCTGTTTTAATCATTTTCAACAGTTCTCACCTACCACAAATGCTACTGACAATGTTCCTTTATAGAAGTATATAATATCTATTTTTGTAGATTTCCATGAAGTTCTAGATTTCTAGTTAAGGAGTTAAGGAGAAAGTTTTCTGCTGCTTTTCAATTGTAACGTATAAAATTGATAACCCAGATTAGTCATCTCATGATCCTTATATTTCAGGTATGGCCTAGAACACATTTTTAAGGGATGCACGAGAAAAGACAAATATTCCTTTGTGGAGGTGGACCAAAAATTGGGTCTAGAGCTGGAAAAATGGAAGGGGGGACTCACTAACAATGTTATAATAGTCGAGGAGTTCCACAAAATTCAACTAGACAGGAAAACCTTTATCGCCCAAGGTCACAAAAGGGTAAGATTATTGTTGAATAAATCTGTTCTGTATTTCTTCTGTCACCCAGGGTCTGTCACATTCAATGTATGTACAAGTATTTTTACTGAGTGATGCTGAATTGCATAGAAGTCTTAGGGGCTATTACCTCTCTACCTATTCATGAGTATGTTCAAACATTGAACAACATTTTTGGCTCAAGGAATTGTATTGGTCCATTTTTGTGCCTTGGTCTCTTGTAGATGAAATCCTATGAAAGTTCTTATTTCATCTATTGAGATACCTCTAAATCTCCAAAACATCTATAAGAGCAAACATTTTAAAATAATTTGAGAACATTCCTAGCATTTGAACAAACAAATAAAAATTCAATAAACTCACCATTTGCATAACTTCGGTAAAATAGCTAAAATAGCTTGAAAGGACATTGGGTCAAAAGATATAATATTTTTTATTTTAGTCTGCAAAGAGAATTAACCATGGGGCCAAACCAAAAGATGGGAGGACCTGTATAATACAACGGTTCTTGAGAATACGGGTTACACATACAGACAGACAGGTGACACATTTTGCTGCTGAAGTTGCTATTTTGCAGAAGGAACCAGTGGAATCAAGAACTAGATTACACATGATTGTCAGGTAAATACATGAGATATCTACTGGGAGGTATTAAAAGACGCTAGTCACATTCTGTTATATAACCAATACTGTACTTCTACTTAATTTGGTGTTACTTATTTTGGCGGATTTGCTGTTTTGAACATTTGGTGGCTACTTAGTTTGACAGACTTGCAATATTACAATGTCCTGATGGTACCAATTAAAATTGTACTAAAATTACCAGGAAATGTGGTGGCGGCTTACTTTGATGAATTTGGCTTCATTTGTCAAATTAAAACGGCCACCAAATTAAGTATAGGTACAGTAACTAACTCACGGTCACTAAGTAAATGTTTGTCAAGGTGACAACTGGAGTCTGCAGATTAAAAATGATACCGCCAACTTGTTGCAAACTTAACCCTTGCAAAAAGTTAAATTGAAAATCTTTTCTTTCATGATTTCGTATCTTTCAAATGATTTTTTAGATAATATTTTGTAGTGTGTGAAACAAATAAGCCTGGACCTATGCATTGTGCACCTTTCAGTGGTTGTTAAAATTATTAAAATTAATACCCAATGCTCCGCATCTTGTGCAAATTTTAGAAAGCAACACCTTCAAAAAATGGTCATTCCACAATGCACTGATCCCAGGACTTAAATCCTTAAGCAATGCATGTTAGTATTGGTTTTAAGATATTTCAAAATGTAATCATAGCTGAAATTGACAAATTGAAAAATTACAATGAGAATAATTTGGTTACCATGGTAACAGCATTCTAGACAAAATGAAGACAAAATAAAAGATTTCTTCTGTTCAATCTTTCTGTTCATCAGAATATACATTCTTTTAATATAATTCCAGAAACACAGAATTGACCACCTTCGTTGATTTGACACAACTCCAAAGTAAGATGTACCTTCAAGCAGTTGATGGCGGAAAATTGATGGGAATTTCAATTCCATGGACATTTGAGCATGATTAACTGATATTTTGATCTGAATGTTTGCTTTATTGTAAAATTGTTTATATTTCATACATTTATGCCCATGCTCTTTAGGTATATGTGGACAGAATCATCGTCCAATTTTGATCAATTTAACAGTATTTTAATCAGGTCGTCTAAAACATATTTAATATCTTTTAAAGCAAAAAAAATTATATTGGGTGGTGACTGCAATACAAATACACATTGGCCATCTAAAAATGGCAGTTGTTACATGCTATTTTACAATTTTTATTACTGTAACTGAAAAGGTTTTATGAACATTAAATTGAATAAATAATATTTTGAAAGATCATCATGCATTCATTTCATTTTATACATGTATTTCATGTTTTAAAGCATCCCTCTCTTAAACTAAATAACTTCCACAATATGGTTGAAAATAGTTGCAACCATTTGGTAAAATGCAACTGAAAAAGTCAATGGTTTGTAATGGTTGCAAATGATTGCAAATTTTCAATGATATGCAACCAAAGTTTTCAACCAAATTTTAATGGTTGCAATGCAATGGTTGGAAACCATTTCAAATGGTTGCAGCAATAGTTACGCAATGTTTTTCAATGGTTACGCAATGGTTTATAACGGTTGAAATTCGGAAAAAATGGTTGTTTTTTTTCTAAGGGTAGCCATACATTAATGTTTTGATGCAATCCCCTTTTATTATACTTCATGTTGTTTATCATCGTGATGTCCATGACATTTTTATACAAGATCCTTTTTATTGTATATGCATACTTCATCACTTTTTATAATGTCATGTGAGAATAGCCTGACATCCGTAACTTTGGTAAATGTATTGAACAGATAGCGGTTTGTAATTATTCATCTTTGTGACCTTACATAGGGAGATATGCATATATCTTAATTAGTACTAAATTAGTACTCTGGCAAAAGTATGCTCAGGAGCACTCGAATGCTTATTTAGTACTAATTTTGAACTTAATGAGTACTTGGCATATACGTATGAGTGCTCACTGAGTAATGAAAAATCAATGAAATTAGCACTATTTTATCACTCATCATTTGAGTACTTAATTTTTACTAAAAATGCAATAAATCAGTACTCATGTCATTAGTGCTCATTTAGTACTTATATTTACTGAAATGAGTACTCAGTTTGCGCTTAAATGCCATGAGTACTATTTTAGTACTGGCATATCGCCCTGTGTAATCTATAGTCATACCTATAATATTGATTATGATGTTCACTATATTGTATTAATTATATGAATTTAAAATAAATAGAATGTTCAATTCTGCCTTTCACATATATTTGTCTCCTTTTTAGTCTTTAGAGCGGGTGAAGCAAGTGTCTAATGCTAGTGTTCTACAAGAAGCTGAGGTGACATGCTACTTTATAGCTGAATTAGCGCATTACTCTCGACAGTGGAGATTGCAACTTCCCCAGGTGCTCAACACATTACTGGTAGGTCAATGAACTATACTGAATAAGAATACATATGGGCTAACATTAACTCACACCATAACTTCCATAACAACCATGATAACCCTCTGGAGGTCATTGAAATATTTTCATCATCAAAATGCAGTCTCATCCATATAAGAGTGAACTTTGAGTAATGTGTCTAGCCATTGCTATGAGAAAACATGCACAGTATGAAATCATGCTTTCTAGCTATTTTATGATGATATGGTAGATTGGAAAGAATACTTATTTAAGGAAAGAAAGTCTGTGGGTAAAAGCTTGTCAAGAGTAAAGTGCTCGATGCCATTGATGCATATAGTCCGATGCTACATTGACTTGAGATAAACTGTAATTGATTTACAACAGTATTAGTACTTATACCTATTTGTGTGCTTTTCTGTTACAGACAAGCATGTGTTACTTGATGCAGACCTGCGTCTCATTTCTAATCCGGCCAAAGTTTCTGCAGCATGTTCTAGAGGTGAGTAATAATCAATGTGTATTATGCTTTGTCTTCAAATAATCATGCAGAATGGCCAGATTAATCATCACTTGGAATGGTCAAAACTTGCTGGATAAACCTTATTTATCCTACACTTAGTGTGCTAAATGTATAATAACATTGAAAAATAAATTTGATATCTATTGGCAAAATGAATAAACGGAACTTATCTCCATGATATACTCCAAAAAACTAATATGCAGAAGATATTGTGATGATATACTCCGGAAAACCCAATAAGCAGAGGATATTGTGACGATATACTCCCCTCGTTGATTTTTTGCCAAATTGAACCTTTTGATGTGAAATTCATTTTTCAATGATATTATACATTTAGCACACTACTAGTAAGTGTAAGATAATTAGAGCATCCGATGATTTTTTTTCAGAATATCATTTTAATCTATTTGGTGATATTGATATATGCACTCGTTCACTTTGCTCATTCGTGCAGAAATCATTATCCCCTCGTAGATTAAAATGATATTACTCAAAATCATAGGATATCCTATAAATCCAAAACCAACTACTTGTACATTTGCATAAACTTCAGTAACTTTGTAAAAGGTTTACAAGAACGCCTCGACAAGATGGAATTATTTGATCTCAAGTTGTTCAGTCCGTTTTTATCACATTCTTCTCTACATTTTCTCACGAGTCTCCACGCAAACCCTTTGATAGATTCATTCAGCTATATTTTTAGTAGATTCTTGAAGTGGTTTTTGGGCATGTTGGGTATATTTTACTGCAGCCATTTTTGATTTTTAGGTATGATATGACTTTTACTTTTCATAGTAGATTCAATATATGCATAGTAACTCATTTATTTTGCAGTTTCAACGTCATAGTTTGGAGGAGAAGTCAACAAAGACACATCGACCAATAGAACAAATGTTGACCCCAGTACGTCATCTGCAACAACAGACCTCAACTGATGATGTAGACAAACCTCCACAACATTTAGTAGACCAGCAGACAAGGTAAAGCTTACATAAGAGATCATTCGCTCAAACAGAATTTGACTTAATTTACCCCTTTCAGGAGCTTCGGTATGAGCTTTCCTGGCACCACGAATATCATTGTTTTGTACCAGTTTTGAAATGCCCATATATATGGTCTAGCAAAAGATTTGTCTGAAAAGTTTATTAACCTCTCTTCTCAATGCAGTACTCCCAGGTACATTGTGTTAACCAGTAAATAAACTATAGCTGTACTACACTACATACCCTTTGTATCTGTTCGACTTTGCTTTTCAAAATAGAGCTTCGTCTTCACTCTTTCAGTTTTCAATAAATCTCTCAACTTACCGCGCTAATCAGAGTTCGTCGTCGAAATAAGGACGACTTTCTATTTATGATCATTTTCTCTTACGTAATCGCATAATTACTGTGTACGCATTTAGCACTTGTTCCTTCCAGCTCGCTGATTGGTTGAGAATAGGTCAGCGCGGAAGGTGTAAAATGATTTATGACCCGAGCTGTCATGGGCAATGGTCGTGGGGGCGGGGCTGCTAAACTGTAATATAGTCTATACTAGGCAGAGGGTAGTTTATAACTAGACTCTGCGCGCAGGGTTACTACACTGTAATTATTAAGACTACTTATTTGGATGTACAGTAGTAATCTGGCAATGGCTCATATTGTGTTTCAGACTTCTGAAGATACTTTGTGGATGTTTAACTGGCTTGAGGCAGTTCACTCCTAATCTATGCGAGATCCTGTTTGACCAGGTATGGAACATGATACATCATTGGCTGTAGTCAGTTGGGGGCCTCCTCTTTATGATCTTCAGTATTTACTTTTGGCCATTTGGCAAAATTTACCTATACCCCCAATCTATATTCTGGAATCAAAGTACATGTAGGATATGTTATACCATAGGCAGAGCAATATTAGGTATATAACAGCATGTAATTAATTACGTATTTGGGATCGGGACTGATCTAGGAATCAGTGGGAACCAGATTTCCACATCATCATCACCCCAGATATAAATTCCAGTGGAAATCCATTCATTGTTGAGTTTTATGTATGAAAAATATGTAACGTTAATATCACCAAAATCAATTTATTGTTTTCTCATCCATCAGATGATGTTTTGAGGTAGATATTGCTCTTGGCCTTTGTATAAGGTTGTTATTTACCTGTAGGGATAATATCCCTCGGATGATATCGATATATAAGGGTTATGTAGTGGGAGGTTTTGGATACGGGGTTTATCCCGAGGGATATATGCATATCTATCTGAGGGACAATAGGGACCGAAGGTAGATGTGCATCTCATGAGGGATAAACCCCATGTCCAAACCAAATTCTAATTTTTTCAACAATTTACAACATTTTTTCTACTTTTTTCAAAGCCAGAAGATATGCCCTGGAGTGTGAGATATGGAGGTTCTGGATATGGAAACCTCAAAATCAGGATACGTGATATATCTTACCAACTTATCTTCCCAAAACTCTACTTGGCATAGGATAAATATTGATATTTATCCTTGTTACACTTACATTCCCCATATCAAATCCCCCTGGTGAATAACTTAGTAAACTTTGTATCGTTCTCATGCTACTGAACAGTTAAAATAGAATATGATACCATTCCAGTCATTAGATATAGAATTTCGGTACCATATGGTACTACAATTTGATGGTACTCAACAGTTCCTTTTGAAACTACGATATCATGCAGTGTACCATTGTTGTTTTGGTACTTTACATTGGCTGTTTAAACCAACACTGTTCCAGGAATAAAATCCCTTCCATACTACGAGTACATGCTTGAATATATATAAGTTTTGAATAGAATAAACAATATAATATGCAATAATATATGTAAATGTAGTGAACAATGGGAATTAATAAACAGCCATAGGAGACATAAGTCTACCGCAGTTGAATTTCATATAAACATAGAATGGCATGTTTGATCAGCTGTGCAGTGTTGTTATCAATATACTTTATCATGTTGTCAGCATGATAGGTGAAGTTACAATATAATCGTTAGCTAAGTGTAATCTCGCATTAATGAACAATCCCCCATGACCCCCCTACCCCCCTACCCCCCTACCCCCTACATTCATAGCATTCACACTTCTAGATGGAGGCAGAGGGTCAGAGAATTTGATTGTGAATCATACAATATAACCTTCAAACAGTCCTCATTCACTATGAGGCACTATAATGTAAAGCACCACTTTGATACAATAATGAGCACATCTCTCTCAAGATCTCTTTAGATCTGCATTATTTTACATATAGACTAATACATTGTATGCACTCTAAACCTCATGCCTGTTTTAATAGCAACGCCACTCTACCTTTTAACATTCGTTTTGTAAAAAGCTAAGAATCCTGAGTCATGAATCAGAGATTCTCTGTAGTATATAGATCTTTCTGTTGTAGAGTATGGATTTGAGTGAATACGATCCTTTCCTAGGAATAGGATTCAGTACGCCATCTATTGACAATGACACTCCACCAACATTTGGCACCCTTGTCTCAGGAATAAATGTCTGCGTCAGATTTTTACAAAAGGTATTCATATTTTATGATTTTAATCTTGACTTTTAATAATTGTCATAAGGACTGTATGTAGCAGAGATTTAGGCATGTTCATTTTACAGTAAACACTTTTGTTATGTGATAAATGCATATTGTAATTGAAATTTGATCTTTATGTATTCACCTTATTGCAGTCAACCCATGTGAAAAGTATATCAAAACACTTAAACGAATGACTAGTAAAATTACTGATTTATCGTTTATAGCACCTCTTTCATTGTCACAGTGGTGTATAAGTACATGTACAAGATGAGATTAACAAAATTGGGTCTATTTGTCCAAGAAACACTATACATGTACTTTAATAGCTTTAAGCATCTCAAAATGATGACCTGACGATACTAGATCTATGTAGCACCCACCCACCCACGTACATGTATGCCTTCCATTTTCCAACTTCAACTGTCATCACAAGACGAGAATATAGTACATGTACTTTGAAGAAAAGTTGTACCCACTAGACTTGTTTTTCTCTTTATATAGACAGAATGTTATAAGTCTTTATGCCTACTTTTCAGTTAGAGCCAAGGCTTGGCTCCCCAGTTAAGTCTCCAGCATCATTAACAGAGCCTATAAGTATTCCAAAGTAAGTATCACCTAAGTATAGCTAGTGTAAATGTTGACTAAAATAGCCATGCTTGTGCACTTTGTGATAGTAGCATGAAATTTGGCACAAAGCTAGTTTATAACATTGTGAACAAGACCTGAGTCATTAATCGAGTGAGATACATGTATGCCTCGTTCTGGAAAATCCAACATTTGCCATTCTGAACACTTTTGGCTGGTCCCAGTGGCATTCAGATTTCAGATTTTATAATACTATCTACAATCTAGTAAACTTCATGTACCTCCATGTTGGTTAAGTTGACTTAAAAAGCAACTAAAACTAGAACATTTCTATCATATCATATACATGGATTTATTCAGATCATATCAAGTACAAAAAATAAATATCAATAAATAAGGCTGGTATTCAATGGTTGTGGTCCTCAATATATAGGAGTTTTACTGTGGAGGTACATCAGCATAGAGACAATCCCTTTCACTGTAGACTTTCTCTGGCTTGTTTTCAACATCTGTGAATTTCTCTCCTTCCAAGTAGCTCAAGACCTCTTTGTCAAAGTTCTCGGCAAAATTCTGTGGGTCTCTGGCGAGGACGAATAGAGTGAAGCGAATTGGGTCTGACACTATGGAGTATTGGTATTGGCCATTCACGACTGGTCCAAGCTTGAGGATCCAATCTGGAATAAAATGTGACTTTGTGTTAATTTATTTTGTGGTACTAATCTGATCTGATATAATCAGAAAACAATAGAGATGATAAAAACTTTACAAAAAAGTGATTTATCCTTGAATTGTATATCTGTGTAATGATATGATAATGTAAATCCTCTGAAATTCACAAAGGAAGGAAGGAGGTAATACATTTGGTTTAGTCTGAGGGGCAACATTTAAAACTAAACATAACACCTCTAAAGTCCACAGTGTAATAGATGCTATATAGATGCAAATACTGTAAGTATTTTTTCCATTCATGAACTTTAGTCTGCCCATATTGAGGGTCAACATATGAGTGAGAAAAAATCAGTAGGCTAATGATTGAGATATTTTAAATGTGACTTAGTCTACTTACAAGGTGCTGGTACTGGAACTCCAGAAAGTTCTACAAGAAGTTGTCCCTCAGTCTCGGTCTTGTATCCGAATCCTGTGATCTGATCCAAAGGGCCATTGGGGGTCTTGATACGGTTTGAGTTCAGTACTGAGATGGTAGTTGCGTTGATAGCTCTGTAGTCAGCTGTGATACAGACAGCATTCCTCAGGAAAGAGTTCCAGAGATTGTTGTTAGAGTAGACCTGGTACCATCTGCCGAGATATTTTGAAACGTCGACACCTTCAACTGTTGCTGGGGGTTTCCCAAAGATATCCTCAAGGAGAAAGCCTAAGCAGATGCTTGGGAGCACCACCAGGAGGGCTGCAGTCATTAGTTTTGTTGTCATCTTGCTGAACGTTGGTTGAGATTGTCCGTGTTATTGTATGTTGGTTGAGCTTGGAGCAACTTGTAAAGATATGTCAGAAATTTGGGGTTTATATACAATTTCAGCCCATGAATAAAAGTCACAGTGGCTATTTGTTTAACTGCTAATTATAATAAAATGGAACATTAATTGAGGAATGAAATAAAGAGGGACAGAGATTGGTTCTCCTTATTCTTGATTACGCCAAAATACCCAAAATAAGGTTCATGACTCAGATTTTGGAGAGGAATAACCATGATCATGATTCCCATTTTACTAATAGGAGTCTTAGGTTTCATAATCAATGATTGTTGTAACTATTGTATGGAAGGGGGCATTCATGAGAAATGTCATTTGAATCATGTCTGTTTCAAGTGATTTCTCTATAAAGTCTGAATGAATTGTCTGATTATCTTTCATTTCTATTCAATTAAGAGTGTTGGTTACATTTTTATTTACCTTTTCCATTGCTTGTTTATTCTTTTAGACTATGTAATTCATTTTTAACATGATCAATTGTGACATTTTTCTTAAAGGTCTAGGTTTATCTTATCAAGATAACAAAATCCACATCAGTTAACACAGCAAGACCAATCTCTGTGAGCACATTTGTCTCACCTTTTATGGAAAGCTAATGCTATATTCTGCATTTGTACAAAAGTGTGCACACTAAACATGTGTGACTGTATTGTAACAATTAAAACCTGAAGCAGACACTAACATGTGAGAGCAGCTATCTATGATAACTGAATACCATTATATTCAAGCTATGTGATAAGCAAATACACATGTTTCCTCATGTGGTATTCTATAACAGTAGGAAATTACATGGCTCTTATATTAGTGGGGCTAACCGATGTCAGGGTTTAGCATGTGACATCTGACAATTGCATCATTTTTGTACAACACAACATTTTTGTAATGATTTGATTTAAAACTGGGACAGGGAACACATATTATTAATTCAGATTTCAAAATACTTCAGATTCATTCATACCACTTCTTAGGAATTTCAAATCTGCGATGCTAATTGAGATCTAAATTCTTCTTATCAAATCCTTTTTGAGTCTTAAAATATGTGAAATAAAATGTGTTGTACTGCACCTAAATGTCAGAGGTCAAATTTCAGTTTTTGAGCATATTTAGTTGAATTTTAGATTTTTATCAAGAGCTCCCCCTTTAACACAGGCTGGAGAAATATGTTAATCATTGTAGGTAGCAGTGGGTTAAAAAGGCTAAAGGAGGAGCGAAAGTATCGCAACAGATTTTGGACAGTCATATGTTATTTTTCTGCGGATTTAAACAGGTGCTTATGTTAGGCCAATGTATTATCTCCAGGAAAAGCAATCATAGAGATGATAAAATAATTTTGACTTTGAGACAGGGAAGAAGCAAACACAACCCACCCACATGTTTTTTCTGAAATGTTGTCCTGATTTTTAACCCCTTCCATCCCTGCTTTTTCAATTTTTGTTGCATCAATATGTTGCGTTTTGACATTCAGTTGACCCCTTTAAGGGAATAAGTGACTCCTCCAGGGAATTTAAAGATATCCATTATGGGTGACCAAAATTAGCTGAAAGCAATGGATCGCGTGAGTTTTCCCTATGGGAAAATAAATTGGCAATATTGTTTTCCACTTTATCTAAGAGGAATCAGTTATTCCTTTTAAGGGGTTAACTTTATCTTAAAGTGCAACATATTGATGAACAAAAAATAAAAATGCAGGTGTGAAAGGGGTTGAAAATCAGGACATTTCAGAAAAAACATGTGGGTGGGTTGTTTGCATCTTCCATGGCTAAAAGTTGAAATTATTATCCCATCAAACGAAGTTCGGAGGGATATAGGGAACGCCTCTGTCCGTCCGCCTGTCTGTCCATACCTATGTCCGTCCGTCCAGGCAATAACTCAAATACCGTTGGCCCGATTTTGTTCATATTTTGTACACATATACCCTATGGGGGTAGAAGTTCTGCTCGAAAGCTGATTTTCAAAATGGCCGGTCATTTAAAAATGGCAGCCATTTCAGTGCCGATTTTACAGTAATTTAGGTGCAATATGTAAAATTGTAATAGCAATATGTTTTAAATGTAAAAAAATTATATAGGACATTAATAAAGCTAGAAATGTAGATATTAAAGAAGCACATGGCAGCCATCTTGAAAAATGGCTGCCTTGACTCGTTATTTTACAATTTTTGCTGTAACTCGAAAAGTAGTGGAGCGATTTTGTACATATTTGGTATGTGAATACTATAAGCATGGCACACTGTCTAATGACACTTTTGGTAGAAGGTGGCCATTTTGAAAAATGGCTGCCATTTTGCTATATACTTTGTTTGTAAATATGCCAGCCATGGCTGTTCTATGGGATTTGCTAAGCTTTGGCGTTGCTGTTGTCTGGTTGGTATTAATGATGTCCCATTCTTGTAGATAACTAATAATATGCCCTCTGACCATTGCAGGCCTATAGTAATGTTTGTGTTGGAGAACTCATTGGTATTAATGATGTCCCAGGCCTGTAGATACCTCAAAGAACCTCACTTATCACCCAGAGACAAACAGTTACTCAAAAGAGAGTTAGGGGCTGAATTGGTAAGACTCACAAAAGTTGACAAAATAACTAGTTTAACATGTTTTTCTATGTTATATTAATATATTCTAAAATAAATCCACCAAAAATTAAATATTTGCCGAATACTGTTAACTGTCATTTTAGATAGTTGTCAGAAAATAGCAATATACCATATTTCAATATGGAAAACAAAAAGAAAATTCTTAACTGGTTTTAATCTATGGAGCATGATCATTGATCACATATTAAAATATTGAGATATTTATAGAATGTCAGACACCAATGCACACCCTTACAGCAAAATTACATAATGATAAAATGTACCATATACTATAATGTGTTTAATCACGATCAGCACATTTCTGTGTTTCATAATGTCACCACCACAAGTGGTGACATATTGTTATAGTCTCCAATTTTTGTGGACATTTTGCTGGTGTTTGTCGGTTGATGTTCTGCATCTGTAACAAATAGCAGGTAGTGACATTTTTTCATGTTAATGCCTTGTATTAGTTTGACATAAAAGGCCAGTGTGTAGTGGAAGTGGTGATGTCCCAAGGAAAAACAGTTGACAATTTGTATGTTATGTTATCCTAGTTAGGTTATAATAGGGTATAATAGATTATATTTTTCTTGATCATTGTCAGTAAGTACAATTTTATGTTCCAGAATTCATTCCTGACTAGCCTACAGAGACATTTACGACGTAGTGGCCCTGTGTCACCAGGGGGCACTGTACTAGCTAGCCCAACACCAGGTGGGGCTACTCTAGGACGTTCACTATCGCAGACAACAGTTGCTACCACACAGGACCAAGACTATTTTAAACTAGTGGATATTTTCCTGAAACAAGTTTTGAGATGATTGGATGTATGGTATTCTAACTCCACTCATACAACCAGCTAATGAATATCAATGGTATTATTGAAATACTTTGAAATGTTGTGGTTTTTAATGGAAATGTCAGTGTAATGAACAAGAATAATATAAATAAATTTAAACTGGAAATGAAATAATTCATCCGTCTAGTAGATAACTGTATGTTGCCATTTCAATGAAACAACATAACTGCATTAAACTAACAAAGTGAATATGTACAGACAATAAAACGTGCAGGTTTGAAAGTACTTCTATATGTTTATGGTACGATGAACGATTGTAGTTATTTTTGTACAAGAAGAATACAAAATATAAAAAATAATCCTTAACTTTTATTATTATTTATATTGTTAGTACCTGAGTTGAAATACTCGATTTTGATTGGTCAACGAGCGGTGAATAATTTTAACTGTACACCGCGCAATGCATTGCCGGTGAATAATATTCCCAGCATTCCACTAAAATGACGTCATTATCAGACGATAAAATGGCCGCCGCTAGCACTAGCCGTTTCAAAAATGTTGAAGATGAGGATATTATTAGTCTCTTAGAGAGTAAAGACAGTCAAAATACGAAGAAAAATCTAAAACTTTGTACAAAGCTTTTAGTGGACTTCGCCCAGGAGAGTAATTTGACTCCATTGAGTGAACTTACTGCCGATATACTGAAATACAACATGAACGTCTCGAGGGTCTGGATCCAACTTCAAGTCAACATCAAGGGTCAGAAAAATCTAAGATATTCTTCGGACTAACAAAACAATTATTGACCTCTCCAGAGGTTTACTGTCATAATTATATCCCGAGACTGTAAACCGAGACCTGGATATGGATCTTTTTATGGACATTTTGTATATCTTTATTATCCACTTTTTTCAAAGTGCTATCTTGTGCTAATGGGCTTACATGTATCCAGGCAGGTTGGTGCCAGAAAAATTGTGTCATCAAAGCTCCAGAAGGGGCAAATTAATGCTAACATCTGATTAGATCTGGGCATGCTGAGTAAATAACTTGGCGGCCAAATAAATATTGAAATACAGTACTCTGGGAATGGCCAGCAGGCCCAGCATGTCCCTCTATTAAGTAAATGGCATGTACCCAGTCTAAAAATGGCCCACATGTATCTACTCAGGAAATAGCCGGCATGTCCATTGTCAGCTTCTCAGAAAATAACCAGCGTTTATCTACTCAGGAAATAGCCATGCATCTTGTCCATTGTCAGCTTCTCAGAAATTATTTTTATTATCTCTTTGTGTACACAGGTTGTTTCGCGAAAAATATTAGATAACTACATGGAATTCTCTTTAACTCGTTTGCATATTAAGCTTATACAAAATCATCAGCTAAATTTATTTCTTTTCACTGCTACATAAGTGAGAGCAATTTTCTTGTATGAGTTTAATATTTTTTCACGAAAGAACCTTTGTACACAAAATGACAATTTTGGATTCAGCATTCTTCCTTGTTCAGTATCCTATGCCAATGAGGCATTGGCACATAAAACTTAGACCAAATTAGAAAACTGGCATGTGAGTTATCTTGACTACGGGTCCTTTGCTCATGTGACATAAGCCTATAGAATTTGAACCAATTCCTTTTCCATTTCCTTAAGTTATTAAAAATTATATTTTTTCATAAAAATTCATTTTAAATTGAGCACCCATCTTAAAAATTCCTTCTTAAGCAAAGTTATGTGTTTCGTCAAGTGCAAATGGTAGCCATTTTGAAATGAACAGCAATATTAAAAATGCCTTGGGCAGAGGTCCCATACCCATAAAATATTAGCCTACTACATTTTTCATAAAAAATTGCAGCCATTTTGAAATTCAGCAACCATCTTGAAAATTTCTCTATGTCCCTAAAGCACCAGAATTTAAAATTTGAACTAAATCCGTCTACCAGTATTAAAGTTATCAAAGATTATATGTGTTACAAGAACAATGACCATTTTGAAATGAGTGGCTTTTTTGAAAATTTCTTCTCAAGCAGTGGTACTATGCCCATGAGGCATTAGCCTACAAAAGGATTGGTATCGATATGGCAAACTGAATTCAACATTGTTTTTCTCAAACCAATTATTAAAAACATTCTGTAAAAAACATGGTCCTTTTGGTACTTTTTAAATGAACTAAACTTTCCTTTGTACAATTACAATATTGAGAGTCATTTTGTTCCAATGAGGTTTGGATAGATGTTTCATTTCATTCCAAACATATGATACCAAGAACAAACAAAAGAAGTGTTTGATGTGTTTTCTAAAACAATATAGAGAAAAGCATATATATTTTTCAAATTAAGTCTCCCTTCTAGTCAATATGTAAGCCAAGTGTCATTCTTTCAGCAAAACATTTAATGCCTGAGATATTTCCTTTACATGCTCCATTATTCTTTCCCGATCACTTTCTTTTAATCTTCCTCCAACTTTTTGAGAAAATTTATCCGGATGCCAACGAATCTGCTGTTCACGGAAATATTTTTTCAGTTTGTTGTTATCTTTTGATTTGTCAAAATCACATGACAAAAATTCGCTAAGAGTTTTTACATCTCCTGGCCAGGGTATATCCTTAAATGTTATGTCTTTGAGATCGATGTTTGTGAAAAAACTGCAACAGTTCGCTTCATATTCCTGTTTTTTATCTTTCAATTTATGTCTGTGGAGTCTCTTTTTATATTCCTCATGTTCAGTTTGTAACTTTTGCGTAAATTTTCGCTTCTCTTTTTCCTCATTCAATTTTTGTTTTTTATTTGTGTGCGGTTTGGTGAAATAATGGGGTTGTTGATATTTATGTTTATTGTAGAACTCTCTTTTCATATTTTCTGCCCAGTCATCATATGTTTCTGGTTGATTGTCCTCCCTTGAATAATCTGGAAAGACACAATGTGACATTTGTTTTATTTTGTTCCAATGAAACTGCTATTTGCACAAATTTCTGAACAATAAGAACTAGAAATCGGCAACTTCACGGAGTACCAAATCCCAACGAACACTATATAAATCATGAATCTGTACAGTCACAATGTAATATTTACCATCTATTCTTCCCTTCAATATACACTCGAGATCATTGTAGTATCATGTAACCATACTTAAAGATATCTCAAATTCCTGCTCTAGGCAGCCATTTGAATTTTCTGAGGCACAAATCAGAAAACGATACCACATTTGTGATCTACTCTAAAATTCCTTCAATTTGAGTATAATATAGCCATACTTCTAAGAGATCAGAAAATTATTGGGAAATCCCACATTAGGCGGCCATTTTATCAGAAAAAATGATACAATATTTGCAATCTCCTATAAATTGCCTTTCATTTGAGTATAATAAAGCTATACTAAAGTATTCAAGTTATCTTCAGAACGGTATTGACAGACGGAGGGCTTCACTATATCCCTACGGAACTTTGTTCATCGGGATAATACGGACTAAAATGGATGGCAGTTCATTCAAAGGCTGCTCTTTCCTTCTGTTCTGTTGATTTGTGTGTAAATATTGCTCTTACACTAATAGAATTTAGATAGACTACATATTAAACAGTACAAAGAAACATTACAACACACTGAATGATATGCCATCTTTTGATAGTCCGAAAAACTTATTTATAAATTATAATATGATAATAGTGTTTGAAAAAGTGATAATAAGGGAATTTCAATACATAGTTTATCAATATGTACACTAAAACCAGTTCAAGTGGGAGAACCTTGGGACCACATAGAAGTGTTGCATTTAGGAGGGGATCCACTCACTCAAAAAGTTTGTTAACATAAAGTCAGTGGGTCATTGAACTTTGAAGAACTGTTCTACTTCTAAAGTATGTTCCAAATACAGACTTGACCAATTTTACTGTCGGTATCGGAACACCTCTCAAATTTCAGCACATGGTGAAGATTTTTTTAGTTTGCCAAAGATAAGCATTTTTAGATGTCACCACCTATCATTTGTTACAGATGCTGACCAGCAAACACCATCTACAAATAAGTTGTAGTACAATATGTCACCACATCTAGTGGTCCCATGAAAAGTGAACATCTGCCAATTCTTACATTTATGGTCAGTCCCAGTGGGATTCTGATCAGAGAGGTTTTAATGTACTACTAACTGACAACATACCTGGCTCATACATGCCCTGTTCCTCATAGTACTCATCTTCCATAGCTGCCCCTAGTTTCTCACTCCAAGAGCCATTGTGATCCACATCATCTGGAGGATCAACATTATCTCTTAATGATTCTGATGTTGATTCTACACTTGATGAACTTGACGAGTCCTATAAAGTCCATGAGATACATGAGTGTTTTTTTCTTTTCAAAAGCTGGTAATAATGCAGTATTTTTAGTTAGAATCTATTTCAATGTCAGTCTGGCAATATTGCAAGTAGATTTTAATTTATGCACCATTCGAAGGTTTCCCTGTGGTATGAGGAGGATTGGGAATTTTACATGCATTGGAGTTCTGACAGCACTTGGTTTCAGTAGTACGAACTTATGTACATGATTCAACTGGCTATAATTGCTTCCAGGGTGGCGAAATTGACTCACTATGTTGCTTGCAGAGTATTTTGTCAAAATCCCCACCCCTTCCTACATGGGCGTCCCATACAAATCTTTCAATGATGCATTATAAACATGGAAATAAGAGGATTTTTAAATATATTTATTGAACGACCCTCAGTTTTAAACTTGAAAGTTACCTTTCATCAAGTTGAAACATTATTTTCCCTCAGGTTGGAAATATGAAAATCTTTCATTTTTAAAGATACAACAACAGTGAGATAAGGCACTAAAGTGAGATAAGACAAAAGTATAACTGCACATACATGTAGTTACAAAAGTTACAATTTGTTACAGACACCAACAGTCATTTTTGGTGGTGACATATGAATGAGTTTGAGGATTCAAAGTTATGAATATATTTGATTTTTTATGAATTCATAGATGTCATCTCATGCTTGCATGCAATATATAACCTTACATCATAGTAAGCTGCTTGGAGATTGTGTTTGACTTGCTGTAGTATTTCTCTGGCACTTCTCCCTGCAGAGTTAGTAACATCAAGACATTTGGGACATTTCTGGATCAGAGGTAGGAGAAGATCTGTGTACACTAGAAATGGAAAAAAATATTTATGAAAAAATGTACATGTGATGCTACCCTAGGAGCTAGACTGTCAACACTCTTGAAATGCTATAGCTTAATCTAGGTTATAGGCAATCATAATGTGTAGTCAGATTAGTCAAATTAGTCAAATATTCATTTAGTTTCAGCTCCCAAAAACATGACAAATTGACAAGGCCAAGTAAGCTACATTGGAGCTTGTTAAGATCTAACATCAGCCTCAAAACCATAAAATTAAATTAAATAGACTTAAGATTTTAACTGATTTTTTGGTATTGGGGACCAACTTACCATGTCTATTCTGAGAGGTAGTCCTTGCATATTGACAGGCTATATGTATGGGCAAGTTACCATGGAGATCAGCCAACATACAGTCAGCTTCATGCTTTAACATATACCTGAAAATAATTTAAAAAAATAGTCCCATTGAACTCAAACTGAATGTGCTATTCTGACCCATGAAGGTCACTCAAGGTTGGCCACATTTACTATAATGCAGTGAAAAAGAGCCAACTTAGACTGTATCTGTATGAATTCTCCTTATATTATATCATCCCACTAATTCTCTAATGACTTCAGCCATTTGGTCCTATAAGATCTTAATTATCTCATCTTTATTTCATTTTGAGTTTGAAATCAATGATTAGGCAGAAAATATTTTGATTGTATACAGGTCAGATTTATAGGAACGTTTGATGAACCTCACTCTGACAGCAATATGAAGTTGTTGTTATTATACAAGGTGACCCCCAAAATATGCCACCCACTATTTTTGGAATAACTTTCTTAACAATGTAGGAATCATCATGATTTTTTATATGTAAACAGAGTTTAATGGAAGGATTGGTATGCTTGCATAGCATCAACAATTTGGAAACTAAGAGAGGAATGCTCTGAAACAAATTCACTAAAAAATATAGTGGGTGGCATTCTGATCAATATGAGTTTCATCCATTGGAACCAAGATTTTGTTGATATATCTCAGTACCTCATAATACATTCTGCTCCTTGGCTGCATGCATAATGCAACACAGTCCATCCTGGGCCTAACTCACTCCATATTGCAGTCTTAGAAAGTCTATGTTTCTTCATGTAATACTTAAACTTGTCTCTATTGTCTTTTGTGATATATTTCTTCACTTTTGCAGCCTGTCTTGGATTCATTACTGCTTGATGTCATCTTCTGAAAACACATAATAACAAGCGCTATAGGCTATAGTATCAGTTATCTCCCAAGCATTAAAGCAAGTGGGCGCAGCACCTACCTGGGATTTTGAAAATAGGCTTGTAACCACCTAAAAATCTATTTGCACCCACTTGAAAATGAGAAAAATTATAAAAATTGGCATATTTTGGTCTGAATTGTTAAAATGAGAATTTTGCACCAACCTGAGAAAAAAATCCTGGGGAGATCATGAGCATGTTGTCAGTTATTTAGATAACTGATTGTTGGTTGATGCAATAAATATCATAAACGTTGTCAAATAGTGAACTCAGATTTTAGACAAAATCATCATAAGAATTATTAATATGAAAGCATAATTTGGCTGAGTCAGGTTCACCATTATTGATTCACACACTCCTTCTAAAGTTAGGTAAAACACCATTAAAATACGAACTTAGATGATGGCAATCAAAGAACACGATGATAACCCTTATGCTATGAGATAATGAACAATTGAATGAAAATTGATTGATAGAAGAATATTTGTCAAAGTACAGTATGGTAAAAGAGACGAGCCAAGCCTCTCGTCAGGTTCATCCTGGCTATGCTAGAGCAATTCATATAGACTACATACCCCAATAAAATATATAAAGAAACAAAATGATGAACAGTATACAAGCGAGTGCAGTGGTGAGACTCTGCTTATTGACTCCCCTGGTATCGTCTAATCCTATTCATGACCATTATAATGTTTCATCTCATAACGTATTCATGGGCACAGCTCTAGCTTAGCGAAACAGTTTCCAGTGTTCATAGAGCCTTGTCTAGCTTGACATCACAGTATAATGATATGGTAATTGGTAACCACACAGATTTTGAGATAAATGACCAACCAGCAAAGTAGACATGATCACGTCGGAACTATTTTGACCTATATCGCTATTTTCGTGATTCAAATGAAAGTTGAACTCCTCCTCTTTATTTTGATACCAAATAGTGGCATACTAGGTACCCTAGAAGCTAACTATGGGTTATTTAGAATGATACCACAGGTTTTTAAATGGACTATATAGGGGTCATACCTTTAGGCGGATGGATATGGAACCTCATACCATAAGCTTCAAATAAAAAACATTCTAGCTATTTTCTTCTATCTAATGGGTAGCAAACGCCCCTTTCTACGCCTGATCGGCTCAGGAGAAATATCCTGTCTGTTTAGAATATATATAGCCACGTCTTACGTGTTCATGTTTTTTATTGTGTTTTCAACGTTTACTACCATTCCCTGTTCCCGGGCTACCATTTTTTGACTGGGTTTGGTAATCCCCGGGTAACCGGGGCTAATGCCCTCCCCGGGTTTTGCACTTGTTCCCAAAATATCCGTATGATATCTGAAATATCCCCCCGCGCATTGCGCATGCGCCAGAAAATTCGAAAATCAATATTTGTCGGTCCTCTAGCGTGTAAACCCAGAGTACGTCGTGCAGTCAGTCCATGTCAACCAGTTCAAGAACCGGCTCGATGCACATTGGTATCACCATCCTTTAAAATTCAATTACGAAATTGCTGGCGTACAAGTAGCCCCCAAGCTACGTTAGTTTCAAAAAGTATCAGAACTGTCATACAGGCAATGTCTGCCTAGGACGGAAAATTACTTATAAACTTATAAACTTATATCTCCCGTACCGACAATTTACGTATTTACGTATTTTTAATTTATTATGGGCGATAATATGTGATATTGTCAAATAAAGCTTTAAATCATTTATATATAACCACTATATACATTTCTAATACCCACCTTTATGGGATGTGAATAAACATCAATTAAACTGAAAGCTTAGATGAAAATCAAAATGCCAATTTATCCTCTAATCGGCGATATTTTAGTCAGAGCATTTTAATACCGGAAGTCAATCAATTTTTCACATCCGGGTAATTCACTGCCAGCAATGTAAACAAACTTTGAAGTAAAATCTAATATCTTCAACAGAGTTATTCGAGGTAAGTGTATGTTCCAACATCCCAAATTTATGTTAAACTATAGCTGATTTGGCGCCAATTTCAAAAATAGACCATGGCAACATGAGGCATGATTCCATTCTCCTACTTGAGCTTTTGTAGAAATGACAGCATCTGTCATTGACATTAAAGATTAAGATTATAAGATTATAAGTGAATTACGATTTATAGGCATGCTTGCCTGTTAATCGATCATTGCAAGGACCTCATTGTCCTTAGATTGTTGCATAAAAAGTTAAAAAGTCAAGTTTCCCCAACTACCTATGTACATAGCCATAATCAATGTTGTGGTCTAATTTCATTGGATGATCCATCCAGTGTTTGTCTAGCCTGTTTTTGAAAGTGTTGGTATTATCAGCCCTAATTACGAATTCAGGGAGTGCATTCCATTGTCTTATCACTCGCTGGCTGAAGGTGTTTTGTCTGTTTGTCGTTGAGCAGTGGAATTTTCTGAGCATCTGTGTGTTTGCTCTTCTTAGTGTTGGTCCTGTGTTTCTATTCTGTTGGATTGGGAATATGTCTAGGCTATTCACATCATATAAGTTGTTCATATACTTGAAAGTTTCTATTATGTCGCCTCTAAGTCTCCTATAGGCTAGGGTTGTTAGATCTAAAGTTCTGAGCCTTTCTGAATACGATAGTTCTCTCAGGGATGGGATAATACGTGTAGCTCTTCTTTGCACATTTTCAATAAGTTCTATGTTTTTCTTGGTGAATGGATTCCAGACTGAGTTTGCAAATTCTAATTTTGGTCTTATAAGTCCATTGAAGAGAAGCTTAAAAGATTCAAGGTCCCAGTATACGTATGTCCTCTTGATCATCCCTACAGCTTGGTTGGCTTTGTTCACTATTTTACTGATGTGTTGGTTAAAATTCAGGTTAGAGTCTATAAAGACCCCCAAGTCTCTTTCACAGGTAGAGTTGTTTAGGGGGATTTCTTCTCCTGTGTTTACGTCTTTCATATTGTAACTCATGGCCTTGTTGGTTCTGCCTATGTGTAAAACTGAACATTTTTGTGCATTGAACTTTAGGTTCCACTTATTGGCCCAGTCCTGGATTGAGTCAAGGTCGTGTTGGAGCATATTTCTATCTGCTGGATCCTTCACTATCCTGTATAGTTTGGTGTCGTCGGCAAATAGAGTGATATTGCTATGTTTTATTGTGTCTGGCATGTCGTTTACGTAGAGGACATAGAGAAGCGGCCCGAGCACACTTCCCTGAGCTATACCAGAGCCTACGTGGGTCCACGGGGCTCCTTTACCATTCAGAACTACCCTCTGTTGTCTTTCTGTTACGAAGGAGGACATCCACTTAAGAGCTTTGCCTCTTATTCCTAATGTTTTAAGCTTGGAGAGCAGGCGCTGATGGGGGACGGAATCAAACGCTTTCGCGTAATCCATATATATTGCGTCTACAGCGCCCCCTGTGTCGATGATCTTAGACCAGTTCTCAAGCATGGCTAGTAGATTAGTTGAGCAGGATCTATTGGGAAGGAATCCATGTTGTGTAGTTGTTAGTAGCTTGTTGCTCTGTAGATGTTGGAGTAGTTGTGGGCGTATTATGCTCTCGAGAATTTTGCATACCGTGCTGGTAAGGCTAACTGGGCGGTAGTTTGTAGGGGAGGATCTGGTGCCTTTCTTGAATATGGGTGTGATATTGGCTCTTCTCCAGTCCATAGGCAAGTAACCTTCGTCGACTGACTTGGTGAAGAGGAGGTAGATGGGTTGGGTTAATACATCAGCTAACTCCTTCAGGATTCGTCCGCTTATGTTATTAAAGAAGTGAAATCAATCTCTTAAAAATGTGAAACATGAGTCTTCATTTGCAAAATAAAAGTTCACGATGTTCTGCTTTGTAGAAAAAAATCAAGATCAAAGTTTTACACAGTTATAAGACAGAGCAATAAACATGATAAAAATCACAATTTGACATTTTCAAAATAACAGGTCAAGCTGGTCAATAAATATTTATTATTGCGAAATAATGATTACCTGAATTCCAAAATTAGTGTTTTTATTAGGCAGTAATTTTCTTTTATGCTTAATTCCATATCCTTCTTATTGACAGCATGTACATGAATCTAATTTCATGTATTTTCCAAATTATAATCATTATTTGAAGGATACTATATTTACTTACTAGAATAGTATTTATTTATTTGCTAATTAGTAATTCATACAGATTTATATTATATAATCTTTGGCTATTGTTTGGCTATAAACAATTCACTGTAAACATACATGGTCACTTCAATTGATAGGTACATAGTAACCTCAGAGTATATTACAAACTAAGAGTAAACACCAAAGTGTGATGTTGATCTGGGTTTGTTTATTGCTGGTATAAATATCAGGTGCTTATTACAACTTGTCTGTTTTAAAAACTGCGTAAAAATCAGACAGTTCTGATTTTATTTCATGGCAATCCTTTGATTTTTAGCTTATCTAGCAAAAACATTCAATTCAAATGAATTTGGATATTTCTACATCTTAACTGTTCAATAACTTTTACATTTCATAATCTTAATCAATTTAATAATCTGAACATGTTGAACACACGTTTCTCGTGAACCAGTCATCAAAAAATTCTGAAAATTTTACACATTGTCAATTTAATGGTCATCTTTTGAATGATAACACTATAATTGGAAAAATATATATATAATTTCATCTATATTGTTTTAGAAAACACATCAGTCACTTGTTTTGTTCTTGATATCATGTTTCCAGAGTGAAATGAAACAACTTTCCGAACCTCATTGGAACAAAACGACATAAACACAACATGTTTAGGTCTCTCAATATTGTAATTGTACAAAGGAAATTTTGGTTGATTTTAAAAAAGTATCTTGTTAATGAAATAAAAGGTTTATCTTGATTTTTATCTATTTTGGGGGGAATTTTGATTTAATTTTTTGAATACTTAAAATCAGCCAAAAATTCCTTTGTATAACTATAATATTGAGAGGTCTAAAAACATGTTGTATATGCTATTTTGTTCCAACAAGGTTCGGAAAGACATTTTATTTCATTCTCAAGAATTGGTAGAAAGGAGCAAAAACAATTGCACTAGAAAAACAAAAAATGTTAACAAAAACAGTTATATAAAATATTTCTAAATAATTTTCGCAATAAATTGTTGTCAATCAGTTAACATTACATAAATTACCGTGTTTCTTTACAGAATGTTTTTATGATTGGTTTAAGAGAAAAACATTGTTGAATTCAGTTCTCCATATCGATACCACTCCTTTAAACATATTTTAAAAGATTTAACATTTGAACAATCTTATTTTGCATGCAACTTTGATTGCTACACTATGTCATCCATGTATACTTTTATTTATTCCTAATACAGGAGTAAGAAGGAGTTGTTATGTTAGGGATGGCTTATGAATATAACTCATTTTCAGCTGTAACTCATGATGCAATTGCAAGGACAGAAGATATAGTAATATTATATAATTATATTGCTTATTTTTCTACATAATCATTCTATTTCTAGGAATAACTAATCATGGAGAAGGAAGTTGATCCATCTGCTCCAAACCTTCCTCACCAAGCTGACCCAGGAAACCTTAACAACAGTACCCACCCTCCTCCTGGGAACCCTACTCTCAATGCTGTGCCTTCACCTCCTACATATAACATGTATGATGTGCCTGAATTTGATGGGCCTCCACCATCATATGAACAGTGTGTTTATAATGATCCAAAAACTTCCTACCAACCTGTGACACAGCCAGAAGAAATTCAAAGTAAGCACGAAAATCATAAGCTTAAGGAGTTTTAGAAATATTTTTTAAATAAAGATGGCAGCGCAACAAATCTGGTACACTGCTGCCATCTTTATTTGTGCCTTAAAGATGACTCAATTTTTCTTGCATATCTAGTTTAAACAATGCACTAGTCTTATCTTGTGATGTAATGACTTTAGATGCACTAACTGTGCTCAAAATTACACTCTTTACTCTTTTTGACGCTATACATGCAATATTTTGACATATAGTACATGGTCAGATTGAGGTTTCCAGTGAATTCATTCAAAATTGAGTTTAAAAAGCAAATAGATTAAGAAATATCCAGAATTTGTCTAACAGTCATACTGTTTTGTTTTACAGTTGCAAAGCCTGCAGATACTGGACTGCCAGCTCTGTGGTATGTTGATTTTTTCCCAAGAAAAGTTATACCTCTCCAGCAACCAGTAGAGTATTCAGCAGAACCACGATATGAACCGTTCATGTAAGTACATGTATATTGATACGTATTATTATCATTTTTCACCATTTAATTGGAAAGTCAGTTGACAATTTGATTTATCAGTTTTTCTTATTCCCCTGAATACATAATAACATATTGTTTATTGAGATATAATTGAGAGATATATTTAATCAGGGATATTGTAAAGATTCTCCAAATTAAAGTGGAGTGTCAAAGTGAAACAATTTATAGTACCATTGAGTATTTAAGGGTTATTGGGGTTATTAAAGTGCACCATTTATTTTTAAAAAACACATTATATGCCTATGTTGAAAGAAATTTCTGTTGTAGCCTACTGAAAAAATATTTGAATGTGTTGTAGGTCGTGTATGCACCAAGCCAACTATTGGCTGACTCAGAACCTTCACTATGAGGTAAAGACGTGTGAGTGTATTGAGAGGAAGGTAGCAAAGGATGGCAGTGTAGAGGGAGAGACAACCCTCTGGAATAGATCTCACTATAATAAAACTGTTTATGTGAGAGGATTAAGGTCAGTATAATTGCTTAATTGCTTCATCAACAACCAAATTAATCATTTTATAGCCAAACTTATTCAGATTCATTTTCCCACCCTAGGAAGTTTGGGAAGGATAGAGAGAAAATGATCCGTTTCTTTGACTAAGCTCCTGGCTATGCTACTTGTTTTTATAGTTAATTGTGATTTTCTGTGCACCCATTGAGCCCTTTATTAATGAAAAAACAAGTATCTCATTTTAGAATACAAGTAATATTAGAAGCGATAAAGAAGAGACCAGGATGTATGACAACCTGACAGTTAATGTGTGAACCTGAATGTAATACATACATACATGTGTCACAATTTTAATTCTCAATTCTGAATATACACTGTAATTCCAGAATCTGGATACATGGTAAAGCAGACCCTAATGGTCCTGCTCAACAACTGGCCCATTTCAACATCAAGCCAGAGGTCCACCAAATTTCTCTGACAGAGACCGAGGAATTCCAACAGAGTATGGCATTGGGCAATGCCATGGCAATGAGCAATATGATGATGGCTGGTCCATTTCGTAGAAGGCAACACAATGGTTAGTCAGTTAGTGGCAGATAAATCTCTTTTTTGTCAATTTTTGTAAACAGAGATTAAAAGATGGCTGTCATTTAAAATAATGTTCAAATTCAGTATGACCTTATGGCTTGGTTCTTCATTTAGGTTCATTTAACCGTGACTTCTGCCCAATGACTGATGTTACAGAGAAACCTTTATATCTGAACTTGTCTCCTGTCTAAATCAAATACCTCTCATTTTTTGTCCCTGAGCCAAGGTTATCTCCCATTGACCTACATATTTGAAAAACCTTGATATGTGAACACCTGCTTATCTGAACACTTGTGGCCAGTCCCAGTAGTGTTCAGATTAGACAGGTTTTACTATATTGATATTTTATCGCCTGCTTTCAAAAATAGAATTATTATCACTTGTAGCTATGAATATGGCGATGAACATGCAAATGGCAGCAAATATGTGTCAGGGGGTGACGATTCCAAAGTTTCAGTCATTAGAAGATGCATTGAAGCAATGGAATGAAAGGCTTGATGAAAATCCTATACCAGGTAATGAGAACATGAGATATTGATGGGGTTTAATTGGATATGTATTTCCTCATTTGTAATTCCTTATTTTCATGTTTAAGAACACTTAGTATCATTTAGTGCCACTTTTGTATATAGACTGTATTTTATTTACCTTTTGGTATCTGATTCATTTTTACCCTTACTTTCTGACTCACTCACCTCATTACATTTGTAATTTCAATTTCTGCATAATCATATGCTACTTTTGTATTACAGGTAAACTGCTGAATATTGAAACATTTGAGATGAAGTATTCCGAGACATCATTTTTTGAGAGCACAGAGAATCATGTTGATCCAGAGGTGACAGCTTGGACACAAAGGGAATCAACCAGTAAAATGTTTGTCCATGTATTGAGAGTCTTTTATGTTATTGGACCACCTTCTGGGGAGAAATTAGGTATGTATATTGATCAAAGAAAGTGTTTGGGGGTCAAGGTCATTGTAATATTCATTGCTTTTACATTCATATCATGAACCAGTGTAATTTTGTAAGTTGACTTTCATTGTTATTTTTACCAGTGATCTCTTTAGGATTGGTGGAGTACAGTACAGTACAGTACAGTACAGCACAGTAAAATACAGTCATAGTACAGTACAGTACAGTAACAGTACAGTGCAGTTCATCTCAGTATGATACAGTACAGTACAGTACATCATGGTACAGTACGGTACAATACATTACATGCACAGTACTGCACCATGTTAAAAATCTTATTACCTGGAGCCCAGTCATAAATATTTAATAATCAGGTTAGCTGAAATTCAAGGGAGAATATGTCTGGTGTTGTAATGTTATGGAATGTGTCCATAGAGTTAGATATGCAGAAGTATGCTTTCTAAATTTCAGGAATAATGAACTTCACCCCATATTTACTGGAAGAAATGCCACGCACATTCTCTGTAAGACAACCAAAGTTTGAAGCATATACCTCTGTATTGGATAGAGCAACTAATTGGGTTGTACAGAACCAGGTCAGTACGTATTTCATCAACTCAAGTGTTATTTAAGGATGCAGTACCAGGTCAGCGTAGAAAAAGTTCCAGACATTAGATTTTGCTCATATTTTGTACAATGTATCACTATGATGTTATCATCATTCAAGTGCAATATGAAGAGGATTGACCGTCTGGTAATTACAAAATAAAAAAATTATTTTACCCACCCAAAATGAATCTTTTTACGTTTTTGAGTTTTCAATAGAGCTGGCACCTTTCGAACCCTGGTTTTCGTATCCACTAATTGCGACTCAAGAACAAGTTTTCCCATAAAAGTGAAAGGGATAAAATATGCTTGATAAAATGTTTGCAATTTAATTATTTTCTGGAAACACCATTATCGAAATAAACTATAATTTTTGAATAAGACTAAATGCGAAAATGACGTTCTTGGGAGCTAGCTTTCTCAAACCGGAAGTCAAACCTGCGCAAACAGATGTGAAAACCGACCCGGTACTGCATCCTTAAAGGAAAATGAACTATGTATCTGTTATGTGCAGATAAAAAACTTGTTTAAAATCAGAATAACATTTTACCATTATAACTATTCATATAGATTTATCAACATTTCTAGCTCACATCATATGGTTCAAGCCTATATTATGGAACCACCCACTCATATGTCTGTTAACAAATTTCGAAATCTATATGGTTTCAAAACATGTATGCATTACTCACTTCTCAAGCATGAAACTTCCAAGTGAATAAAATTGGATTTTCAGGAAAACAATTTAGGTGGACATTATCCTTATCTATGGAAGAATTACCAGACATAAAGTATGAAGTCATAATCATGTTTATCCTATGCCAAGTAGAGTTTTAGGGTGATAAGTTGGTAAGATATATCCCGTATCATGATTTTGAGGTTTCCATATCCTGAACCTCCATATCTCCCGCCATATCTCCCGCTCCAGGGCATATCTTCCCGCTTCGAAAAAAAAATTGAAAAAAGAAAAAAAAGAATATGTAAAAAATTGAAAAGAAAAACTTGAAAAAAGAAATAAGATTTTAATATTGAAAAAAAATTAGAAAAATGTGAAAAAAATTGAAAAAAAATTGAAAGAAAATTAGAAAACTCTACTTGGTATAGGATAAAGCAGTTATGTACGGTCGGTTTGGATATTGGGTTCATCCCTCGTGAGATATACACATCTACCTTCGGTCCCTACAGTCCCTCAGGTAGATATGCATATCTCCCTCTGGATAAACCCCATATCCAAAACCTCCCAGTACATAACCCTTATATATGTATCGAATGTATGGTTTATCCTATTTGCTTTTGTTTCAGGCCATTAACAGAGTAACTAACATTCAATCTATCAACCTGAGATGGGAGAGGTTAAACTTGAAAGGTAAACATCTCATCATTTCAAACTGATAAAACAGTGACCATCCACTTCTACAGAATTATTGCCTAGTATCCTGAAAATTAAGGCATTTTCTTGAAATAATTCAGAATTCTTCCAAAATAGATACAACAAAGAATACTGTGGGCATCATTTTCAAAAAGTTGCCCTCAACTTTTCTATTCTTTGTTGCATATACAAGTGAACATTTTATTTTATGTTACAGCCAACATTGACCCAAACTCAATGGCCTTCGCAGAGAATCCCTATGTTGATACACAATTTGTGAGGACAGTAAGAATAGCATACGCTATCAATCCTGCCCCTATACCCCCTGAAACACCCATGTTACTTACTACAAAGGTGATGTGTCCATATAAGGTTGGAGCAAGAATATTTGAAACAAATGGACAGAATTTACAGCGTGTGGTCGCGTGGCTCCATCTGTCAGGTGTGGCATAGATTAAATGTTAAATGGTCTATTTAGCACATAAGATTAAATGAAATGCTGTGATATCCAATTGGCAACATTGACTCATAAAACTCAGAAAGTAATCGTGATCGTAATAATCCCAAGATTCTTTCTTGTTTTGTTGAATGAGTGACTATTTTATTTATATCAAATACCTGCTGCATGGACATTCCTACATTTTGAAAAAAGCATATTTATAGATTTAAATATTCTTGAGCAAGATTTTACTCGGGTAATTGTATATTTTAGGAGCAAAGGTACTTTGTGCCGAAACAGTGGAATACAACTTCCACCCTGATGCGAAGATAGTTAGATCTGACGAATCATACTGGAAAGTTACTGGACATACTGGACACTATTGGCTCTGCTGTTTCAGGTAAATTACCTTTGCTAAAAGATAGTTCTGACATCGAAACTACCAGATAACCCTTCAAATGTTTTGGATTGTATACATTGTTTTGGCCCATTTGGAAAAGATGTTTATACAGATTTCTGCATACCTTTTAGATCTGAGGGAATTGTGACTAACACCCCAGTCACATTTCCTACGGCGACCTTGCGGTCTATCATTTCTGCGGCCAGTAGCTTTTCTACGCTCGCCGCAGAATTTCTGCGCTCTCATACTTTTGCAGTCACATTTCCCACGGCAGCCGCACGGTGAATTTTAAATTTCTATTGATAAATAATAGTTTTTTTCATTTTATTTACATTAGGACAATTTATAAATGTTATTCAAAGTGCTAGGATGTAATATCAAATGAAAAGTGATCGTGAAACATTGACAAATAATGATTCAATCTTGTTGAGCCAGTTGATTTCTACGGGGACATCAGAAATGAACAAATATTATAACTCCGAGTTATAATTTCTACGCCTTCCCTGCGGCCTGTAAAAATCTTCATACGCCGTACGGAGGCCGCAAGGCGAGCGTAGTTTTTCTACGCTCGCCGCAGAAATTCACCGATTTAATTGTTCTGCGGTCGACTTGCGGCCGCCGTGCGACAAATGTGACTGGGGAGTTAATATTTGCACAGAATGTTGATTAAAATGGCTGACCACCCATTAACCATATCCCTGGAAAGCTGATGAAATATTTTCAACTTTAATTTAGCTTTTGCCAAAAACCAATTGATCTTTCAACAATAGAAACACTTACTGTATAATATCTAATGATGTTACACTCCAGTGAAATCATTGAATGTTGATCATAAAACTGACATACTCTACCATCTAATGTCGGCTCATTCATTTTCTCTGTGAATGTTGAAAATAAGTAGATTCTTAGAATCTTGAAACATGCAATATTATGCACATATTGAATTTAATAATGTAATACAATAAATCAAGCCAATTATTGAGAGTGATGCATCTTTTTCAACTCAGTTGTATATTGTCATGCAGTTAACTCTTTGAATGTTTTAGGCTGTATATTGTGGGGCCATACACGGAACCTCCAGCTAGTATGCTACCACCGCCTCCTGTTCTCCCAGTTGCCTCATCTGAATGTTGTACCATCATATAAAGGGAACTAATGGTTAGTGCGAATTTCTTAATTTCTATTTAAATTAATGCACATGTGAATTACGTACATGTAATATAGATCACTAGTGTCAATAATTTATTGTAACATGTGTCACCAATTTCAAATTTTTAAAGATCTATCTAAAATACAAATACATACTTCAAATTAATTCATTTTTTTAAACCTGTAAACATGAAAACCTTAGACAATTATAATATTTTGTTCTCATGTTAGTAACCTGAACAGTTTCTTTAGCCAAGTAGTACAGCATTTGTATTTACCTCTGAAACATTGACATGGAAAACCTGTAATAGAAACATAGTTGATTCCATTCTTTTATGCAACGACTACCAACTCAGAAACAGCATTCAGGTTAATGGGCGAAATGCATACAATTTCTGAGACACCAGCTGATGGCACAAAGAAGGATCATGACCTCCACTTTTTTAACAACCGCATGTCAATGCATCATAGATGTTTAAGTTAATCAAGCAATACTTCCAGGTGACAGACATAGTGTGGGATGATTCCAAGATCCTGTACTGCTGCCCCACACCTATACAGAAGAAAACAGATCTGATGATTATACACATTCCTTGATTAGGCTAATGGCTTTAATTTTTCCTTGGTGAATAACAATTAGCCTACCAGGACATGTGGGAATAATTTGTTTCAATGACCTACAAAAGAACACTGTCCAGTCTACAGAAGATTACATTTGTTGACTCATTTTCCATCAATTAGATGGATCTATATGATTGGAAACAAATATAATGAGTCCTGACAAAATATTTTGATACTCATGTTTAGATATTGAGTTTTTTGTGATTATGCAAAGTGAAATAATTTATAAATGAAGTTGGGGCATACAGTAAAACATGATGATTTTGCTTTTTCCTTAAAATTTGGGAAAATAAATAGAACTTAAATTGCTGTAATAGTTCAATTTGTAATAATATATTGCTAATTCACAAATCTAATGTTGATTGGAATACATGTAGCCAAGATTCTGAATTCATCAATGGCACAAAACGTCATGATACATTGAAATTCATGAAAAGTGATTTTGTGAATTTAACATGTTTAACCTTAGACTTTGAAATATTTATGATGATTCTGTATATAACTGTATTTCTGTGATATTATTTTCTTATAACTGTATTGCTGTGATATAATTTTCTTATCTCATTTATGAGAATTATTAATCTGTGATATTTCTACAATACAAATGCCACAAATGAAATTGTACATCATTTGTTGATCATTATTACCAGTAGTTTATATTTTGGATTGTTTTAAGTTTATACACTAATTAAGGGATGTAGCCAGGAAATGAAAGTAGACGAGGTAATTTAAATATGTGAGCCTCTAGGGTAAATGAAACATGAAACTAGCATTTGACTTCATTGCTACAGGTTTAGTTGAAAAAATGTGAAATTTTGTTTGGCCTGGCTATATGACGATGCAATTGATATGCAATTATTTTTCAAGAGATGCTCGTATAATATTATAATATTTGAGAAATACACACATGTTATACAACATTAAGACATATTATGCAATATTATGATGTTTGTATTCTTCTCAATATTACATCAACTGCTGTGATAATTTATAAAGACATCTGCCGATCTTCCACACATGAGGAAAAATAATGTAAAACCCTTCTACAAAACTTTATATTTTTCTAATCTATGTGAACACAGCTTCCAATATGAGAGGCTGCTCCATTACACAAACCAATTTACATATATATAAACTATGCATTCCTGTAACAGCATTTTGGTACATAATATCACAATTATGATGTACATTGTGTGTTTTAATAATTCTAAAATTTTAAAAATATTATACTTGATTTTACATTAATCATAGCTATTCTGTACTATGGTGCCGGCATCAAGTGATATTAATTATTTATGCATTGTATATACATGTACATGTATGATATTTTGATCAAGAATTTTGTAGTATATTGTGCTTCTACTTAATTTGGTGGTACTTATTTTAGCAGATTTGCTGTTTTGAACATTTGGCAACTACTTAATTTGGCTGACTTGCAATATTGAAATGTCTATACCATACAATTTTACGATTGAAATATGAAATATTGAATTTGGCAGCTGCTTAATTTGTGGACTTTAAACAATTTGGCAGATCTGCCAAATTAAGTAGAAGTACAGTATCTGAAGTTATATCAAATGATTGTTTTAACACTGTTTTACTCCAAGAAATGTCAGGATTTTTTGGGGAAGAGCCATGACAAAAAATATTGTAACTCGACTCTATTCCTCTAAAAATAATAAGTACAAAATAGTGGTTGTATGAATTTGATGAATTATACATAAATTCTTCTCAGAAGATCTCTGATACTTTTCTAAATGTAGCGACTCCATTAAAATGAATATTATTTTCACCGATAGGTTTTGATTCTGAAGTCAGTCAAAGATGCAACATTTTGAAATTTTTGTGAAAATATGTTCAAGAGAATCTCAGCTTAACTCATATATTCAACATTCCAATCAAATGTTTTTCATCACATATTTATTGTTATTATATCCAATATGTTATTGTTACTTAAAATATTTTTAATGTATGATTCTCAGTTCTATTTTATTATTACATATTTATATGATATTATTATACAATATCGGACTCTGACTCCCTGAGGTAATATTTACCATTGATGTTCTGTTAGAACCTGTTAGCTCAGTGTGATATGATATAGATGTATAAACTCTAAACTGCTAAAGTGTGATATAAATAAATTCTTAATTGTGATAAAAGTTGTTTCTTAAATTACTTTTGTAGCAGTAGATCCAAGCATATTAGAATTTTATCTGTGGGGAGTTTGAAGACAATGGAGTTTGATTTGAAGCACAGTGGGTGGAGTTTGAAGCACTATGCAATTTTATTTGCAGCACAGTAGTTTGAAGTAAATTACAGATTTTTTGGAGCACAACCGAGTGCTGTATTTATATAGAGAATCAATAGAGGTTTCCATTTCATAGCCCTTTTTCCAATTAATTTACTATATAATTGCCCTGTGTAAGTGGAACACTTCAAAGTCATGTGACCCATTAACTTAATGCATAATCAGTCTCTGTAAGTGGAACACCTCTGTTAATGGCCTCATCATTGGATTGACATATTGCAATTAACAGATCCCAAGATAAATGTTTTGTGATTCATTTTCTAAACAGTAATGGTGCAATTCCAAAGATAATTGGTTTTCAATATATTTAAAAGTTGATGAGACTGTCCATCAAAATATGCCTGAGGCAAGCTAGTGTAAACTGATTAAAATTTAATAAATTGATTATAGAAAATTGATAATAATTCATACATACACACACCACCAGATTGATAAATTCTTTTAATACAGAACAAACACAATGACAATGTGTAAGATGGAAAAATTGTTCCGGTTCAGAAATAGGTTCAAAAGCAGTCTTTTTGTCTTGGTTTTCTTAATTTTGATGACCAAATTGTCATTTCATTTGAATATTTCAATGAAAATAACAAAAGCAATGGCTAAAGTGGAAACACCATATAGATCAGCAAACATGGTGACATATAATAATTATGTGAAAGATTTTCTTTATATAGTGAATTCTAATCAATGCATAAAGGACTATCTTGTAGAAAATAACATACTGGGGGACCCAGAGAATTTGGATGTGTTGGTACTGAGTTATAAAGCTCCCTGTAAAGACTTGAAGTTAAATCATGTTAAATACATATATGGTCCAAATACAACTTGGGGATCCGGAAGAAACCTTGCTTGGACTTATGCACAAAAACATCTTGGAAAATATTTGTATTATTTTTTTATGGATGAGGATATCATATTGAAACCAACACTGCCAAGATATCTCAGTAAAGATGCCCTAAATAAACTGAAATCAAATACTTCCATCCTGAGACAATTTGAAGATTTTCTACTTGATACACAACCTGCTGTAGGGGCGCCTTTCCGATCAGTTGATGACCCTTTGGGAATTCAGGACTTCACTGAATGCTGCCCAGGAAAGGACAATCATAACAAACATTAAGGGTCTTCCAGTACGAATTTCAATGGTAAAATTTGATGAGTGTTTTGCAGCATTTCATAGTAAAGCTATAGGGCATATAATGCCAATAGATCTACGATATGACAGAAAAAGTTGGACCGCAGCTGGACAGTACCTACATATGAAATCGTATTATTATTTTCACCGTCAACTTGCACGGTATACCCTCATGACCGTGCATAACACTCAGCACAAAGGTTATCCCCAAGGAATGCTTCCATATGTTGATATTATTAAAAACATCAAATCCCAAACTCCAAAGTCTTACAGAAATGCAACAATATTTGTGAAGGACCTTAAGATTATGGCTGGCAAAGACTGGGGAAAACATATATACATTAACCCACTGAAACCAACTTTTGAATTAGCTCCTGAAAATGATGCAATAACGCCTTTTAAATACTCATATTGATATCATTGGACATTCATTGTTAACTGCAATGCACAGAGCTAATAATTTGGTGATCGTGTAGTCATATGCAGAATTTAAAAGCCCATGACATTAATACATATCATCTAACTATTCCAAAGAAAGTTACAAAAATATATTTGAAACATCAAGGTAAAAAGAAAACTGTGAATTAATAAATCAATGAAGTCTATTTGCACTTCAAAAAATGTATTTTACTAATTGCATGTTATGTAATTTGACATCAAAGTTTTCCCATTCTCAGTTCATCCATCTTCGCACGCTCCGGTCTTCAACGACGGGAGCCGAGTGAACGAAGATGCAGTTTATCAATATACAGTACAAAGGTGAAAACGTGCCTTATATTTTGATATCAAATCAGATATCTCAATCTTGATTTTAGTTTTGATAAGTCTTTTATCTGAATTCGCATGTTTGCCACATATGGCAATATCCCACTCTACTGTAACCTCGTCCTTTTTGCAAATACACATACATGTAGGTGGAAAATATTTCAAATTAGATGATTGAAATAAATTAGTTGAAATATTGTAAGTAAAATATTGCATTGCATAAATGGATATAATTTTAATCAGACACTCAAAGTGTGTGATGTAAAAATACCTGCAGATCAATCATGTCAATTCCCGAACAAAAATACTCATAAAAATGGTTTATTGTAACCAATATGCTTAGCAAGGTAAGGTTCAAATGACTTATTTGAAAACAATCAGGAAACCAAGCGCAGGTAAATATATATGAACTTAGGTATTTTACACACCCAAAAGAAAAAATTAATCCTATGATTGTACTCGAAATTGAGATGCAATAAATCAACTAATACATCATCCCTGAATATGATCTATACATTTACTAGTATAAAACATTTACAAGTGATCAATTGTTCAAAAAAGTGATGCTCTGAATTACATTCTCTCTGAAACTATATTTCAATTTACTATTTCACTGTCATGTTGCTTCGCATATAGGGGAATGTTACTTAATGTGAACAATGTAAAGGTATTCCCCTCACTAAAATGAAATATTTAAGGATTTAAGCCCTGGACTCAGTGCATTGTTTACTGAATCATACCATGAAGGTGTTTTTTCCAAACCTTTGCATGACCACACAGCCAGAATGCAAAGTTTAGGAAACAACGCCTGAGTGGAATGAAGCAGCTACAATGCATTGAGTCTTGGGCTTAAATTAATTTCATAAAATCATCCAAAAGGAATGAAATCACCAAAAGAAAACATTTTCAACGAATTTTTTGGAAGGGTCAAAGTTGGCAAGTCATCAAATCCAATGTGAAAAGTCCATTCATCACCATGATAACTGTTTAACTAATGACCTTGCATGTGTTTTTGATATTTCACACACTGTTCATCATGTGAGTACTCTGTTCTGATTGGCTGGAATGGGACACACCTTGCCTAGCTATGTGTGAATTGCTAACTATATATTGTAATAAAAATATGAATATTTGTACATTGTTGTCCCCTATTTGTCCCCTATAACTCAGCCATGAAGGTATTGGTGCTGTTGGTCGTGATCTGTGGTGCTATGGCACATCTCTGCCTGTTGTCACCTCTGCAGCGTGGCACTATGAATGGCATTAACACAGCAGGTAAGGCATCTCCTCAGGGAGACTATAGATGGGTGTTTCCATGAGAAAGTATGAGGGGTTTCTCCTGCAGGAGACAATGAAATACATATATATCTACTCCTCTGCAGGAGATGACTTTTCTGATGTGGAATATTTCTATTATATCTAAGGTAACTCTTCAGGTATCTCCAAGAATGCCAATATAACAATTCAATTCAATACTTAGGTTTAATAAAATACATTTATTGTACTTCATGAATATAATAACAAAAGCACCAATCATCACATCCTCATATTGCATTTGATAGGAACACTATCAATGTTCAGGAACACTATCAATGTTCAGATTTAGAGCTCATACCATATATGGGCATTCAATAGATTGAAAGCCCTTGCTCATACACACAGATTTCCTTAAAGGACAACTGAAATAGCTTTTCTCAACTTGCAGCTACAAAAATGGGGTTTTCTCCATTCTAAGCCTAACGTAGAGTTCTTGCGATAGCCATGATAAAATAAATGTTAGATAACTGCTAACGGTCATAGATAACGAAATAAAACTAACTGATCAATCAAATTGGCCCCCACGTGATTAGTAACGTCATATACAAAATATAGCTTTGGTTTATTGGTACCTTAGTAATGACAACGTCACGGCAACCATAGGATTGTTGTGTAAACAAATAACAAAACATTTTGGCATTATGACATCATGATCTAATGGACCAAAACGGGCCACGTGGGGACCAGTGAGAGATCACGTGGGGGCCAATAACGTCACAACCAATTCGAATATTGCTTATTAAGCAGCTATAACGATCGTTAGAGTGAATTAATTTTCACACTACTGATGAGAAAACATGTCCAAATACATTTATCAAAAAATTGTATTGATTCCTTTAGGTTAAAAATACCATTTCATATCTGCTTTAACATATTATTTGCCTTCAGGGGCCACAGACTGTCTGTTAACCACAGGGCCATGTGGAGGTCGTCAACCACATGGTTACCCCCCTCTCGCTTTCAAGTAAGACCTAGAACTTAGTAGACAGAAGGACCTGGTTCAAACTGGAGAGGAAATGCCCTTTCAACTAAATCATGTGATTAATGGTGCACAGCATAGGAAAATCAAGTAGAACTAAATCCTAGTTATGGAAATTCATCTCTACATGAAGGAGATAAGATTTCTGAATGCGTAACTTTTGGAGGGGGTGCACATAACCACTTAGTAAGTCATTTAAAAGGATGGCAAATAATCCTTATCATTATGGGGGTATGTAGTGGACTTTCAAGGGCATTTTCTTCCATGTTGTCCCAAGCCTCTTTTCAAAGAATTATTTATTGATTTATTCACTTCAGGAGCTTCAGATTGTCTTCGCACTACAGCTCCATGTGGGGGCAAACAAGTTAGAGCCCCTCCAACTGTTGCATACAAGTAAAGTATAACAACCTGCTGTTCTCCCCAGCATTCTAATCTGGTTGTAAAATTCCCATGTTAATTCAAGAAATGTCCAAACCTGGTCAAAATATACCATGCATTCCAACAATAGTACTGTAGTAAGTGGATTTGTAAAATTCCCATGTTAAATAAGAGATGTTTGATTCTGGTCAAAATATATCATACAATCTAACTACCCTATATATAGTAAATGGATATGTAATTTTCAAAAGCTTAAAGGCCCCATACAAAGTTTTCTTTGTTTCTTTAGAGCTGGGAGCAATCAGACTGTGATTTTCCAGAAGAATCTTGACCACTACAACAAAACAACACCAGTAAGTTCTTTTTACATACAGTTGAAAATCTATGTTCCTTATAGGCTGTTCTAAAGTTATGTCTATTTGTATTTGACATGAAGAGAGAGAAAGACCTCAATATGTCAAGCAATCTTGTAAATCCTAGGAAGATCCCCTTAAACTTGCTATCATCTTAAAATAGGCGAGTCATTAGACCTCATCTAGACAGATTCACCTGGAAAACTCCTGATGCCTAGTTATACTTAAAAAGAAATGCCCATCCTACAATGAAAGCTGTCTTTGACTGTTCCAGAAAACAAACAGTTCACTAAAAAATCTAAAATGCATTTTATTCAAGATACATATATTTTAATGTGATATGTTTCTTCTATGATTCTTCTAAAAAAAGATTTTGGGTCATTTCATCAAAACGGTGTCTAAAACAGCTAGAATCAGATTGATTATGGCGTTTTATCAGCTAAAAGACTGTCATAGAGTACAGAGAATGAGGCATATATGTCATCGTTTTAGGGTTATTTCTCCATATCCTTTGGTCCAGCCCAGATAGCCTTAAAAGAATTCAGTAGGGTCCCAGACAGAGGAGAACCTAGCCTATATGTATACACAGTCAATGTCACTATACCAAAAAAGTGAGTATTTTCTCAATTCCTAAAAACATTAACTCGTATAATTCAACATCAAGTCTCACATCCCCCTATATAGCGTAATAAAGAGTAGAGATATACAAATTGCTTACACAATAGTACACAAATAACAATTTAGGATGATTTCTAAGCCTACATGTATATTGTACTTTCAGACCAGATCCATTCCATACAATACAAGTGGTCTATGTGACAAACAACACTGCAGCGCCACCTATGTTCTATCAATGTGCTGATTTCCAAATAAATTAGATAATACCAATGACTGAATCTTTTTGTTCATTCATCTTATTTAAGAATCCATTTGGAAGTATAGCCATACTTCCACCGTAAGCTTGACTGGGTATACCTTGTATACCTTTGATGTAACTTTCAATCAGAAATGCAATGCAGGCATATCATAATTTACTTCGATCTCCCAGGATTTTATTTGTTTGAATCCAGAGGATTCATGTGGAAATCAAAAATCGAAATATAACCTTTTTACTGCCGTGACAGTTTAGCACTATATATCTTATGAAGGTGAAGGATGTCTTAAATATGGGTCTTCATAAGGTTATATCTCTCACGTCAATTATGCAACTTTTGTGTTTGCACATAGCTGAATGTTCTCTCACTTATGGCATAATAAGATGGAGACTAACTCTGAATATGTCACCTCAATGCCCTGCATGATACACTGACATGATGGAGTCTCATGATCATTCCTTCCTTCTCAAGCAGCCTGTATGACAGCAGAGATCCTGTATGACAGCAGAGATGTGATGAGTATCAGAATGTTTCTGTATAATGTTAATCCCTTGTTCGTCACGGCAATGACATTGTGTCTTTTGGTCTGCTTGTAAATTAATCCCATCTTCAAGAAATAATCTTCTCATCTGAAAGTACAATACAATGAAAATCTTCAAATAATTTTTTATCTTCACGAATACTAAATAAGAAAATAATATAATTACTGCACAGTAGAAAATGTTTAAATTCTTCACAAAATTCTCAAATGGGTGTTATGATTTTAAAATGGGTGTGAGGTAATTTTCATATATTCAACTATGTGCAACATACAACTGCGTGAATGAAGATGACAAGTGTCTACATTAGAATGCAATGGCTAAAGCAAAATATAAAGTGCAATTACACATAATTGATACAGTTAATATTTAATTACTATGCAGTAATTCCAAAGTTAATTGGTTTACAATACATTTCATGGGATTGTCAATTAAGGTATGCCAAAGGCAAGCCAAAGTAAATCAAATTATTAATAACAAATTGATAAATAACAAAAGGACAATTTTGATAATGAAAAAAATGCTCATCCATTTGTCTTTTAGGGGATATTAAGCATAAAAGGTCAACTTTGAAACTGATAAAAATGTTCCGTTTCATAAATATGTTCAAGTGCACTCTATTTATTTTGCTTCTCCTGATTTGGATGATCACAGTGCTGTTTCTTTTGGATACTTCAATAAAAACAACAGCGATCTCAAGAAAAACAGCACCATCTAGAATAGCAATTAATATGCCGATGACGAAAAATAATGATTATGTGAAACACTTTCTTTATATAGTGAATGCTAATCAATGCATAAGTGACAAACTTGTACAAATGGACATGCTCGGGGACCCAGAGAATTTGGATGTGTTGGTACTGAGTTATAACACTCCCTGTAAAGACTTCAAGTTAAACCATGTAAAATACACATATGGCCCAAATACAACTTGGGGATCTGGAAGAAACGTTGCTTGGACTTATGCACAAAAACATCTTGGGAAATATTTGTATTATGTTTTTATGGATGAGGATATCATATTGAAACCAACACTGCCAAGATATCTGAGTAAAGATGCGCTAAATAGACTGAAACAAAATACTTCCATCCTGAGACAATTTGAAGATTTTCTACTTGATACACAACCTGCTGTTGGGGCGCCTTTCCGATCACTGTATGACCCTTTGAGCATTCATGACTTCACTGAATGCTGCCCAGGAAAGGACAATCACAACAAACATTGGGATCTTCCAGAGCGAATTCCAATGATAAGATTTGATGAGTGTTTTGCAGCATTCCATAATATAGCTATTGGGCATATAATGCCGCTAGATGTACAATATGACAAGAAAAGTTGGTGGGGTGCTGCACAGTACTTGCATATGAAATCTTATTATTATTTTCACCGTCAACTTGCACGGTATGCCCTCATGACCGTGCATAACACTCAGCATAAAAGTTATCCCCAAGGAACTCTTTCATATGTGGATATAATTAACAGCATTAAATGCCATATTCCTGAGTCTCACAGAAATGCAACAATATTTGTGAAGGACCTTAAGATTATGGCTGGTAAAGACTGGGGAAAACATGTATATATTAACCCGTCAAAACCAACTTTTGAATTAGCTCCTGAAAATGATAAAATAACACCCTTCAAATATATTGATACAGTTAGAAATTTCTAAAAACATTTCATTGTCTATGAAATACACAGCTAGGCAAGGTATGTCCGATTCTAGCCAATCCACAGATTATTATATCTTGGTTACCGTCATATTTGGCGAGCAATACCTCATTGGTATATTCCATATTTTACACTCGAAGATAGAGCCAGAAACCCCTCCTTGGAGGAGCCCTGTTTTCTTTTATGTGCACAGGTACACAGACATACAGGTACACACCACAGCCTTTTATACGAGTCGTGAACCACTCAGTCGAACACCCAGAATTACATAACGCACAAACAAACTTGTCTGAACCGGGAATCGAACCCAGGGCCAAGCGATATTGGTAACCTTGACTCTCTCTGCCACTGAGCCATAGCGGGTGGACTATGATGCTATTTCACATAACTGCATTCCATTATATAACCATCCAATAACCAACTTAAGGTCACTAGTTAAAGGGTTGTCAACGTGACAACTGGACTCCTCAGATCGAAATTGATGACTTGTAAACTTGACCCTTGCAAAAAGTTTTAATATGTTCTTTTAATGATTTCATACCTTTTAGATGGTTTTGTAGAAAATATTTTGCAATGTGTGAAAAGAATTTCTCAATGCATTGTGTCATGACCATTCCTTTCAGGCGCTGTTTCCTAAAATTAACATTTGATGCTCCATATCTCATGCAACTTTTGGAAAGCACCACCTTCAAGGAATGGTCATTCCACATTGCTCTAAGTCCAGGGCTTAAATCCTTAAATCATGTGCAGAATTCAGTAGATCCTATATCACTGGTACTGTACTCTTCAAAGTTACTGAAACAGATCCGTTTCAGTAACAAAATGTCAAAACCTCCAAGGTATGATTTTTTCCTTATTTCAAGAGTTGTCAGCAGAATTCCCACGAAATATTTATCACAGTACCATATAAAAAATTTACATGTTTGCAAACGAAAAGTTCAGAAGAAGGGTTACAGATGCAGATCTTAAGCGTTTTTGAAGTTCCGTTTTTGTAACAAAAGAGAGGTATTATATGGACGATTCTGTCATCCCATGAACTTAACTATTTCGTGCAAAATCTCTTGGATGTCCAGAAACATATGATAATAATACATGTCTTTGCAGTAAAGATTGGGATGATTTATGCTATATCTCAAGAAATCAAGAAAAATGAAAAAATCTTGCCAACTGGAACCATAGCCATTTTGTTACTGAAACAGATGTGTTATTGAGTGCAGTACCATTGTACGCATATATGGTATTAATATATACTATATCATCTATGTATTCTAAACATTGTTACAAAATCATTTAGACATATCTAAATCAAAAAATTTAATCTCATTCTGATTTTAGTTTTGATCATATATCTGAATTTAGCATGTCTGCCATTTGTGGCAACATCCCACTCTCCTGAAACCTAGTCCTCTTTGCAAAATCATTTCAGCCATACTCATAGGTGGAGGAACTTTTAGCTGTTTACATATTTATATTTTACTGTACAAGCTAACAGCAACGCCAAAGGGTAGCAAATCCCATTGAACAGCCATGGCTGCCATTTTTACAAAATCCTTTTAGTACTTTTTCAGTTTAATAGCAAAAATCATAAAATAACACCCATAAAAATGGCCACCATTTTCAAAATAGACGTTCACTAGCCCAATTGTCATAAGAAAGTGTAATATGCTTCTTAGTAGGCACATATAAAATTTCAACAAAATCGCTCTATTACTATTTGAGCTATAGTAAAAACATAAATAACACACATAATACGGACAGATGGACGAACAGACAGATGGACGAACAGACAGACAGATGGACAAACAGACAGATGGAGGCATTCCCTATATCCCTTTGAACTTTGTTTGATCGGATAATCATAGATAAATACATTTAAAATACTCGCTAGATTAGCTAGTTGTGAATTAGACAAAACACTATTGTTTCATGTTGGGTGTAAATAATAATTTTTATATTTATTTAATTCACAAGTTGGATGTAAAAAAATGATGGTTGGTGGAAGGAAATCTGAAATGGGTGGTAATTTTAATTGTCCATAATGTAGAGTACATACTGTTAAAATATAATGTAAATGTTCAGGTGCATATACATGTATTGTACTATTGATAGAGTAAATTGTACTGGAAGCATTAAATAATATATCTATGTCTCAAAGATAGATTTAACTTACAAAAGTAGAATGAATAATTTTGTGCAGAATTAGTTTGTATGTGAGTTCTACACAAGCATCAGTTTCTAACTGAAATGGCTTCCCAGAGAATTTATCTGTCCACAAATGGCGGACATAACCGTCACTTCAATTAGATTATCATGAACTGTATGTTTAATAGAGCACCTAGACTAAATTCCTTTGGAAAAACAATCAATCAAAGTGTCATAATACTCATTGTACAGTTAATAATGTTCTACCATCGAAATAAAGTCTTTAACTTTACCGATCAAAATGAGATACGGGACAACGGACATTGTAGTTACCATATGCCGTTGTCTTTCTAAATTACTCAAATTCAGATTCCGTTATCATTGACAATATCGAAGACGCTATATTGTGGCGATTCACAACACGATTTGATCAAAAATGGGATTTCATATGATACATTATCACAAGAGCTTAATACATGCACAGAATTAGCGATGATAAAATCCCATAAAATGAAGACCAAGTGATTAAACAATTGAAGCGACGGTTATGCAGGCCTGTCAACTTGGGAACACCTAACATGAGTGACTTACAAATGTTGAACACCTTTCTTCAAATTTTGGACACCTTGGCCCAAATCTGAACATCTTGGCCCAAATATTGAGCACCTTGGTTCAAATTTTATTGCATGTAAACTAAATTTTGGACACCTCAAACTTTCTACGCTCACATCCTGTCAACGAGATATTTCGAGAAAAATGTGTAACGTATCCGCGTGAAAAGTCTGAATGAAATGCATTCGGTTTTCTTCGACGTTCGGTTTTGTACTGTATCGGCGATCACTTTTTTTAAGTTTTTCTACAGGAATATTTTTGCTTGACAAATATCAGGTAAAATGCGTATTTGCGTGACATATTCTGCAAAAATAACTGGCGTGACTTCAGCAAATGCGTGACAAATACGCAAATTGCGGGACAGTTGGATGGCCTGATTATGTCCGCCATTTGTGACAACGATATCTGACTTTACCGTAGTTAGGCTATTCCGGTGTGATATTGTGCTAGAGAAATTTTGTATTGGCCAATACAAACTTCAAATCATTCTATAACATTTTTATCGTGTGATCTTAGGCCAATACATTTTACTCAGGAGATAATCCTTAGGAAGTATTATGTATTATTCTCTGTATTGCTACTGAGATTGTCCCTCTGTGCCAATATTTTCTGTATTACTACGGATATGATCAATGGGGACAATCTCAGTAGCAATACAGATCGGTATAGCACAAGAACTGACCAATCAGAGGGCTTCATTTTACAGATTATATGATAAAAAAGTTACTTGCAATTCAACGTACCTTATAAAGGAAGCATAGGAGAGCCACTGCATGTACTTTGACTGGACAATAAAATTGAGACTGCTGTTACTGGTCCCAGAAATACAGCTACCTGAAAATAAGAATAAACAATGAGAATTGGGTTCTCAATTAGGAGACAATCACGCCATCTATCAACCTAGATGTTAAACATCTGCTGGTGACTTTTCACGATAAGAACATGGAGGTGATAAACATTTATTGTCAACTTGATTTATTTAGAATTTTGACCTATTCATTAGGTATTTGTTAATATTTGGTCATTCCTCAATATCTCTTGAAGTTTGAGAAGTGGGGTGGGCACTTATTAGGGGGCAGGCCTTTCTTAAAGACAATATGACCGGTAATATTCAAAATAACCTGAAATCAATATTTTAGAATAACATAGTAATCTCATCTATGTAATTTTTGACAAAGATGGGAGATACATATTCATCACTCTCTGATTGGTTCATGTCTGACACGTGACTTATAAATAACAAGAGATATCCAACGGAAATCACATGACTTCCGGTGAATATCTAATCTATTCACAAGTCTGATTTAGTCCAGTGTAATCTTAATTTTATATATACCTGGGTCCTGGTAGTACATTGCTATAACTAATTAGACATCAATGGTATGTTAATCTGTTAATGGGAATAAAGAATATAACAGTTAGTAATAGAACAAATATTTGATTCTAGATCTGTAACAATAATAATTGTAACATGTAACATGTACAGGGTGGTCAAAAAAATGGAAACCCTGCATTTTCATTATATCTTTGTCATTTTAAAAAATTACTCCCTGATATTTCACACATTTGTACCGCATTCACTTTCCAACCACCACACCATATTTCATGAGTATCAGATAGATAGTCACAATGTTACAGCACTTTAAATAACATGCTTCAGATTTGGCCATCACCGACTGTAGGCAAACCTGCACAGTTGTGAATGACCCGAATGCATTCCTCCGCAGGACTGGCACAGATGATCTCATTTTTGAGGTTTGTAATTGCCCAGAGGTCATTCTCATACTCTCTATTATTGCCATATCCCTAGAAGTAGGGACATTTGGGACGACAAGTGCAGGTTTCCCAACAACCCAATAGTGTTACTGGGCATGTTCTTTAATGTGCTGTGACATTGTGACTATCAATCTGATGGTCATGACATAAAGTAGGCTGGTAGGAAATTGAATATTGTACAAATGTGTAAAATATCAGGGAGTTATTTTTGACAATGAAAAGGATATGAGGAAAATGGTGTAAGGGTTATTCCATTTTGTTTGACCACCCTGTATTATGATAATCTGTAAAAACAAGAAAAGCACACAATAATAGTGCACTTGGTCCTGCAAGGTTAAGTTGCCAGATGAATTTATATTTATGTACAAGAAGATTGATGTCTGCCCTCATAACCCAAAGATTTGATGAATTAAACCCTCTGGAGATCATGCAGACTGTAATTAAACATAGAGTGATCCATGCTTATTCATCCCTATAACAATAAACATTACTCATATTTATGTACTCACATTTATATCCAAATACTTTGCTATAGTCAAAAACCTGAATAACATCTGAGCCATCTGAATGGAAGAGGTCACTTTTTACACCCTCGCAAGCATTAGTGAAAGGAGTATTTTGATACATGTCACCGACTTTCCTATTAAAAGATATGTGCTTTCATTGACTAAGTTTTTGTTTTATGTGAGGCTGGTGAACAGTCACATCCTTAAAACTAACACTCTGACCTTACAAATGATATATTTGAACCTCAGGACAAATTGTATCAATTATTTTTCACACAGGGACAGATTTTGATTAAGCTCTCATTTACTCGAATATATGGATGACTATTACAGCATGCACTAGTTTTCTTTGAAAACACAAAAGTAACAATATTCTTTCAATCATGGATTTAAAAAACCGAAAAGACCAGAAATATGTGTCTCTAAGTATTGGACTACTTGCACATTTCATGTCAGGAATTGTGTTTGCTTTTAATGCATATGCAATCGCCCTGAAACAGACATTCAACTATACTCAAACTGAACTGGAATATATCGCATCTAGTGGCGATTTGGGACTTTGTTTCTCCTTTCCGGCAGGTATTGTCTTTGACCATTTTGGTCCAAGAGTATCAAGTATATTCTCACTTGTTCTCTCGGGCTTAGGATTTGGGCTATTGTCAGCAGCAACAAACTTTAGGATATTCTTTACTTCAAAAAGTTGGCTTTTGTGTGTTTTTTATTTTATGGCATCAGTTGGAACTCGATTTATATATACAGCATCAGCTGTGGTGAATTGCAAGAACTTTGACAGAAAACATATTGGCAAGATACTTGGCCTCCTCCAAGCTGTATTTGGAATAAGCCCTGCAATATTTAGCGCCCTCTATGAAGGTGTGTTTGTTCAAGGACACATTGAAGATGCAGAGAATCAAAAGCTTGCAGAGTTCTTGCTTATGCTAGCTGTATTATCAGCTTGTATAAATACATTTGGTGTTGTAATGCTAAAGACACTTCCTGATGTAACAGCTGAACATAATATTGCACTATCAGAATTACCTAATATAAATGAAAATGAATTGGCAGGAAGAAAAACACTCGAAAATGTTACGCTTTACAATAGAAGTGATGAAATGAATGAAACAACTCCAATTGCTGGAAAAAAGATATCAAATCAACCAATAGTTGAAGAAATGAAGTGGTGGCAAATCAGTAAAACACCTCCGTTTTATAGCATACTATTTATCTGCATAATCACTGGGGGCACTGGCGGAACTCTTACAAATAATATTACAACTGTTGCGAAATCTGCACAGGTTCACATCAATGCAATAGCCTTCACAGTGACAATTCCAATCCTTGCATCAATTGGGCGATTAATTGGCGGAGCGGTACAAGATTACATTTCGCAAAAATGGCCAGACATTCCCAAATCATCAACTCTGTTATTCCCTGTAACACTCATGTGTATTAGTCAAATAGTCTTGGTATTTTTTAACCAATGCTTTGCTGGTTTGATGAGTGCCTCTGCAATGGCAGCTGTAGCCTTTGCCTTCTTTTATGTACAAGTAACTATTATCATTGTTGACCTGTTTGGTATGAAATATTTTGCACAAAACCTTGGTTTCATGATGGTTGGCCATGGAATTGGAATCTTTTTATTTCAAAAACTTTTTGCTTTGAATTATGAAACCTATAGTCCACCTGGATCACAAACTTGTTACGGAGAATTATGTATGCGGTGGTTTTTTGTTCTGACATCTATTTTATGTTTTTTTGCAATTGTTTTAAACTTTTGTCTTGTGAAAATTGAAAGGGATAAAAGATTGCAACATGAAGAATTACAATACGCTTAGTATACAGTAGGAGGACACATTGCCTTAACCCATCAGTTTTATGACGTGCACATCCGCGTGGGACTATATCTTTACAGCAGGGATTTCAAGTTTTTGTCAGTGCGGACATAGAAAGTTGCGGTTCTCATACGCGCATTTTTTTTATATTTTCATTTGAAACTTGCAGGAACGGTGCTTTGAATCTAGCCCTCTACTCTTTGAAAACGTCATGTATAATCAATACAGTTGAACTATTTATTTTTTGTCGTGAAAATATTATTTTTTTAGTTTATTTTTATTTTACAACTTTTTGGGAAAAAATGTAACAAATTTTTATTTCTTGTCATATTTACCCGATATTTTGTCATCATGAAATTCGAGATTCTTTTTAATGATGGTGCAAATTTCATAACAATTGATGAATTTTTATTATCAGTGTTATGTTTTCCAAAAACGGTGTACCACTGTGCATGTTTCTTTAATTGACGGCACATTTGCCTTTAATTGGGCAAACGTACGCAATAAGCTTTATTTGATTTAATACACTCAAAAATAAAGTTTGCTGTCAAATCGGAATGTTCATAAAACATAAACCTTGCCTTTGTTTTCCCAATTCTAAAAGCAGGCCAAATAAACAATGATAATCGTTTGACTCTCGAGACTACAGAACTTGAACTTGAACATACTAAAATCGAAGTTACCTATAGTTACGCTTGTAAAGTTAATTACATGTTTAACAGCCTGCTGAGTGAATGTATCTAATCAAATTTGTGACATACCCATAAGATCGTAGATCACAATTCTAAGTTTAATTTGGATTCGTAAGAAGTATTTCTGTTTTAAACTTACCTTTGCTGTCTGAAAAAGATCAATATTCATAGACGGGGATGTTGAAACCTATATTTCCTTTGAATGACCTGCATTTGTACTACGAAATGATCCTGTGGAGAAAAGTTGATGAATTCCAAACAGCTAGTTCTTGCAAATCTACTAGTATAAGCTTACTTTCTAAAAGTATTTCAATGTTAAAAATATCTATTCAAATGTTTCATTTTTAAAATGATCTTGGCTTCCCTTAACTTAAATGTGTGACTTATGAAGAATGCTTTTTACCACATCAAACTTAAGACGTGAACTTGACAATTACTCGATACATGTTATAACGCGATTTTCTTTCATTTTCTACAAAAATGGTATGTTTTCGAACGGTCACTTATGTTAATCTATGACCGTGGTATGATTGAAAATGAAAGAACTGAACCAAGTATTGTCGACTTGTTTGAATTATAAGATTTATTTTGATTGATTTAATCTCTTCTTGAATTTTAAAACTTTTGTCCGAATTACATCTGCTATGGAATTAAAGTTCAAATATACCTCAGAATTGCTTATTGAATTAACCTAGCAATTAATTTGAAAATAATTCTTTACATAGGTTATATATCATAGATCATAGATATGTAAAAAATAAAAATGTGATTTGAAAGATGAATTGATAACAAACGTTTTCGCACACGTGCCATTTCCACTTTCAGCCCACTTAAAGCACGAAATCCCGTATGACGTAATATAACGAAAATGCGCAGATAATTGATATTTTTTATTTTAATTCAACTTACATTGACCGTTCAGTTATGAACGTGTTTAAAGTTCTCATGTTAAAATAAATAAATATGTGGAAAGGCAATGGTTTAAAGCTTATGAAAATGTCAAAATCATAATTCAGTTTTAAAATAAGATATTGACATGCATTCACGCACATGTGACATTATCTCTTTTTGTGCGATTCAAACATAAAAATCTCATTACAGTTGTACATAAGAACCAATCTTAGCCATGCCTTTCTAATAGAAGGAACTAAATTTGAATCAAAAAATAATTCTGAAAGATGATTCCCCATAGATATAATAAATGTCAAAAATGTCAAAAAAATTATCAAAAATTAAATACTGACACGGATTTACGCACACATGACCTTTTCCAGTTTTGCATATTTCATTTACCTTGAAAACCAATGAGACTGGACGCAATTGCCAAATACTTCTTTGATACGCGTGCCAGGTCTATAATTGCATTTTCTCATGGAAGGAATCAAGCAAAAATTATAAAAATAATTCTATGTTAAGGTGATGCTTCACAAATAATATTAATGTCAAAACTTTAATTCATTTCTTCAAATCCAAATACTGACACGCTTTTACGCACACGTGACCTTTTCTTCTTTTGCTCATTTTATTTATCCTAAAAATCAGTGGGTCGAAATACATTGTCCGATACTTCTTTAATACGTGTCAGGTCTTAAATTGCAGTTTATCATGAAAGAAATCGAACAATTATCATAAAAATAATTATGTGTAAAGGTGATGTTCTTCAGATTATATAAACATCAAAATTGTAAGTCATTTATTGAAAGTTAAATATCCACATGCTTTTAGGCACACATAACCTTTTCCCTTTCGTTCATTTTATCTATCTTTAAAATCAGTGAGCCTGAACTCATTGCTAAATACTTTTTGATACGAGTCAGCTCCAGGTCTAAAATTGTATTTCATCATGGAACAAATCGAGCAATCGTTATGAAAATAATTCTGTGTAAAGGTGATGTTCCAAAGACAATATATATGTCAATTTGATAATTCAGTTACTCAAAATGAAATATCCACATGATTTTACGCACACATGATAATTTCCTGAATGACGCTACTTTTTGGATTCAACCATGCATATAACGTCGTAAAATACACATTTCTACCGAAATTATGCCCAGCCGTTTTCGTAGAAAATGTAACAAATAAAGGCATTTTATCGGAACTGATTGATATTTGGTACTTATAGAATATCGTATTTACTTTAACTTTTAAGCGATTCAGACATTTAAAAAAATTATGTTTAATCAATGTTAATTTCGCACGAATATAGGGTACAAAATGAGTGAAAGTCTCACGTGTTTGATTGCATTTTACTCCCACTTATGTGCATTTTTCTAACATTAAAATGAGATAGTTGGAAAGAAGAGATCAGTAGAATTCTATCCGTCACTTTCATTTTCAAATGTTTAAATATTTCCCGTTTCATTGGACCTCATAAAGATGGTAGCCAACGGACCAGAAACAAGTAGTGCGATGACGTCATATATCGCTACACCACTTTGATATAAAGTTTGGTCAATGTGTCGTCCTACTGATATTAACCAGTACATTAAGAGATGGAACAGATATTGTAATTATTATTGTAGTTTAATACAGTAGAACCTGGTGGAAAACTCCATAAGTATACATTTCCCAACGTCCAGATACTGTACCCATAGTTTTAATGTGAATGAACCTCTTTAAGTGGAACACCTCCAAAAGGCCTGAGTCATATTTGCTCCAATTTTCAATCTGGCGCCTGGTTGATTCAGTTATTTGTTCAAAACTGAGTGCAATTTTGACTTAAAGCAAAATAAGCATCTTCCTAGTGGAACAATATTTTGAGGTTCTAAAAGTGTTACTTCAATGCACCGTATTTAACAGAGCACCCATATGTAAGATTACTAATAATGTTAAAGCAAATGTAATGTAAAAAGTGTACTGTACTGGGGATATTAAGAGACTCCTGCATATGAGTATTGTTAAAAATATCAATTGGAACCATGCAATCAAAGGACCTTATACACCCTCCATTGGGATCTCCCCATGGGAAAAAAATAATTCATCTGATTTTTCAAAATGAGTATTCTGCTACAATTATTACATTTATATGCACACTAGTATCTTGTTGACCTATATTCAGCACTGTATTGATGTATAGGCCACTTATTAGGGTCATAATTCAATCATGAAGTGTAGAGGCATAGATTCCAAACCAGGAAGTATTTTTGTGTCTGTCAAAATCCATTTACATCCTACGCATCCCTGCATCTTATCCAAATATGTTACTACATAATGAAATATAATAGTATAATCTTTGGTTTTACAAACTTGTATGATATTTGATAAGTGTAAAAGTTGTTTTTGGAGCATTTTTCTATAGCCATTTTGTAGGGAAAAAATGATGAAAAAATGTACAATCTTTTAATTTTAAGTATGACCTGAATCGATTGCAAACTTCATATTTGCACATTTGATGAGATAAACCATTTGTGTCGTATTGTGAAATTATTAAGTTTGCAATCGATTCAGGTCATAGTGTATTTTGGGTATTTCTGTGATAATCAATGGAAACCAATGGCCTCTATTGGGATCTGCTGATATCCTCATGTTAAGTCAATGGTGCACAGCCCATGTAAGTCAATACAACCTTACTGAACGAAATGATCCCTATCTCAGCTTATGTGTGTCCGAGCACTTTAATATTTTCCAAAGTATTATATGACATTTTATTCTTCATGTTACACCTACGAATGATTCATTTTGACCATAGGGATATTTGCCAATAATTGCACCTTGTCCTTTAAAAATTGCAAATTGCATCAATCAAGGGTATCTCTATATGCATACTGTATGTTATAACCAATATAATACCATCACTAGCCATCATTATCTCGGTTTCAATTGGAAAAAATGCCTGAATTAATATTTTTGTCATATATGATCTCTAGATTTTAGATAATATCAATCAGAAAATGTCCATCCTACAATGAAACCTGTCTTTAACTGTCCTATACAACATACAATTCACTAAGAAATCAAGATACATATTTTAATGTGATAAGTCTCTGGTACTTCCAAAGAAGGCAATTCATTCAAAGTATTTTCTCAATTCATAACAACTTTATCTTGTATAATCAGTATAGAATCTCACCCCCTCCCCCAATAAGCTATACAAAGAGTAGAGATAGGGGGAAGACCTCTAAGAGAACTCGTAACAATACTTATATTACATACACATTGTTTATTGTATTCACTATTTTCTTCTTATTAACTTATTAATTAAAAGTATACAAATTTAATTCAAGATTTAATTTAAGCTCATGATTGTATCCATGTCTAAAGAGTGAAGGATGATTGTTTGTTAAGCCTACATGTATATTTTAATTTCAGTCCAGATCCATTCCATACAATACAAGTGGTCTATGTGACAAACAACACTGCAGCACCACCTATGTTCTATCAATTATTTCCAAATAAATTAAAAAACAATAGAAATGACTGAATCTTTTTGTTCATTCATCTTATGTAAGAATTAATTTGGAAATTTAAATCTCGTCTTTGTTAAAGTATGTTACATTCTCAACCACTGGCCTTGATATGGGTATACTGGGTAAATTGTACACCTCAAATGTTAATTTTGATTTAGTTGCTTGTTACTCTATATGGTGGTAAATGGTATTTACAAAATTCATTTTATTTTTACCTCAATTTTCCAAAATTAGGAAAATCAAAATTTTTTTCATTTTTTGAGTCATGACAGTTCAGCACTAGTACTGTATATCTCATGAAGGCAAAACCAAGAATGACTGTATTGTAAGTAGGTACGAATAATTTCGAACGGAATGCGTGACATATACGTAATTCGCGTGAAAAGTCCGAACGATATGCGTACGTTTTTTTCCGGCGTTCGTATTTTTGCTGTGTAGACGATCTTTTTAAAAAAATTTTCTACAGAAATATTTTTGCTTGACAATTACCAGGTAAAATGCGTATTTGCGTGACATTTTCGGTCACGCAAAAATAACTGGCGTGACTTCAAATTCTTCAGCAAATGCATGACAAATACGCAAATTGCGGGACAGTTGACAGGCCTGAATGATGAATGTTCTTTCTTGTAATCTATGGCATGATAAGATGGAGACTTACTCTGAAATGTCGTAGGTACGAATAATTTCGAACGGAATGCGTGACATATACGTAATTCGCGTGAAAAGTCCGAACGATATGCGTACGTTTTTTTCCGGCGTTCGTATTTTTGCTGTGTAGACGATCTTTTTAAAAAAATTTTCTACAGAAATATTTTTGCTTGACAATTACCAGGTAAAATGCGTATTTGCGTGACATTTTCGGTCACGCAAAAATAACTGGCGTGACTTCAAATTCTTCAGCAAATGCGTGACAAATACGCAAATTGCGGGACAGTTGACAGGCCTGAATGATGAATGTTCTTTCTTGTAATCTATGGCATGATAAGATGGAGACTTACTCTGAAATGTCGTAGGTACGAATAATTTCGAACGGAATGCGTGACATATACGTAATTCGCGTGAAAAGTCCGAACGATATGCGTACGTTTTTTTCCGGCGTTCGTATTTTTGCTGTGTAGACGATCTTTTTAAAAAAATTTTCTACAGAAATATTTTTGCTTGACAATTACCAGGTAAAATGCGTATTTGCGTGACATTTTCGGTCACGCAAAAATAACTGGCGTGACTTCAAATTCTTCAGCAAATGCGTGACAAATACGCAAATTGCGGGACAGTTGACAGGCCTGAATGATGAATGTTCTTTCTTGTAATCTATGGCATGATAAGATGGAGACTTACTCTGAAATGTCACCTCAATGCCCTGCACGATACACCAACATGATGGAGTCTCATTCATTCCTTCTCAATCATGCTGTAGAACAGCAGAGATGTGATGAGTATCAGAATGTTTCTGTCGATTGTTTATCACAACAGTATCATAATATCTTTGTGTCTGTTTCAAGAAATGATCGCCTCACCTGAAAGTACATTAAATGAAGAATATGAGGTTTAAAAACGAAAAGTTAATTGGGAACAAAGTCCTTCTAAGTTTTTGTTATCTCTATGAATAGAAAATTGAGTACTCAACCTGCACAAAAGAATCAGAATGAATCCAACATTTTTTTAGTTTTTATGGTTTATTTATCCAACATTATTGTGAAAGTTATTCCAAAATATTAAGAGGGTTGCATTTTTCAAGTTACCCTGATATATCGCATCGTCGATTCCCACGCTCAATCACTACGTTCTATCCCATGGGTTCAAATGACAAACTTGAGACCCAAGTAATATGTGGCGTCTCATTCGTAGAAATGCTACACGGAGTGCGCATGATAGCCCGTGTGCCAATCACAGTTGAGGAAATTATCTAAATTAGGCCCCTGAATCAGTATTCAGAAAATAAAAATGGAGATATTGTTTGAAAAGATTTGCGGTAAATTTTGTCTGATCATGAATTCTTTAAAACCCTATCAAAAAGAAGCGATAGAGGCAATAACGGTAGGCAGGGATGTATTCGTCTCACAGAAAACTGGACTGTGGTGACAAAGGCCCTTCCTATGGATAATGATATTCAAGACAGCGCATCAGCTGGGGTTGGTTTATTTAGTGTATAACCAATAATTTGTCGTGAATCAAGGTGAGGATAGGTCCGAAGCTTGATGAAGCAAGATGGATATATCGTATTTAAATAGTAAAATCCAAATTGAATGAAATGCCCACTGTAAATATGATATGCATTTAAGATTCCTTTTGTTTCAATATATTAAACTCAGATGAGATAAGGTCATTATTATTTCTCAACCCTTCTCTTATCACTGCCAAGTACTTGAAAGAAGAGAATTAATAGAAAGGGTGGGGTTTCACAAATTTTTGACCACTCAATCATCTACTTCAATGAACTACTCTTACCAAATAAATAATACTTTTGCATTCAAAATCATCCTTACATACATGCATATATACAGTGTTGCAACAGCGAATCAAATTGTTCTTAATCGTGGAAATGCTAACTGCTTATCACAGGGGGTGAAAAGAAAGAAGATATTCTTCAAGTTCCAATTCATTGTGCCACCTCTCCTAATGATAAAAGACCAAAAGCTTAATTTTCGCGAATAGTGTACAACTAATAAAGTAAATAAAAATTAATTATAATAATAACAGTTGGAATGTGGGTCCATGGGCTTTCAAGAGGGTTCAACCGATAATAGCATTGCCCTACATGCTTGTTTGTTCTGTTGATAAAATCTGAATCAAACCATAGCTGACCAATCACAAAAATATTATATTACCTACCGTAGGTTGGTAGATTAAGTGGAGATAGGGAGTAGTGGATGTGTAATTATTTCATTTGACCAGCACATGTCATGATGAAGGTTGTAGTTTTAGTCGTATTGTCCCTAGGGTCACTTATTCAGGGGGATAGGATTGTATCAACTAGAAATGGAAAAGTAAAGGGATTCACGGATAATGTCTATGGAACAAATGTTGAAACATTTTTAGGTAAGATTTTCAAATCCTATTGAATTTTAGGACAATTTTGAAAGAATCACTAAATAGTTACCTATAGATGAGGTTGGTCCTGTTTCTTCTTCATTTTTTATTTTCACTCTCAACTAAATGTAAGTTTAAATATATACTTCGTTGTATGCTTGAATTTGACTGTCATACTGATTTGACACACATGTATACATTTAACATACATGTATATCTACTACTCACTGTCAAAGATAAACACTCCCTAACAATTAATATATTGTGAAAATACTCATCAAGGAAGAATTCAATCATATAAAAGGAATGATTCTGAATAATTAAGGGATTACTTAATGAAAATGGTAAAATAAAGTTTAAAAAGTAGATTAAAACATTCAATATCAAGGCTAATGTTCAATATTTGCATTCAAAATATACTGATACAACTTATTACTTAATATATTATCTCATGATCAAGAACCCAAGTACTTATTTTACATCTATGATTTTCTGTGACTCAGGATACAGTTCAAGGATACAGTTGCAAACTTCCTTAACAACAGGTGATTTTGGTGAAAACAACCAAGAAAAATCCCTTGTTGCCTAATTGAAATCGTTGAGTGTTTATAAACCATGGTGTTTTCATTTTTTATCAAGTCCTGATAAGAGTTGCAAGACAGCAAGGTGTTAAATTAGTGTCTGATTATTCTATATACAAAGTCCTCTGAATAAATCAAAATATACAAACATGAACAAATGTATATCATTCTCCAAATAGGTATTCCTTATGCTGAGCCCCCTACTGGAAATACAAGATTTGCCCCAACTGTTGCCAAGGGAAACTGGACAAATACACTGGATGCTAACAAATACAGTGCAGCTTGCCCACAGAAACCTAACACTGTGTGGCTCAATGAACATTTACCAGGTTTTTCAAACTTCAATGAGGACTGTCTCTACCTGAATGTATTCACTCCAGCTGTAAGTAAATGATTGAAAAAGAATGCACTCTTCTTTGATACAACTGTACATTCTTTAAAATAAACTACAATCCATTCTATTGTGTTGCTACGTAAGTGGGGTTTGCTAACAGCAAAGTAACTTTTTCCATCCCTTCACTCAACAAAAGATTATAATTATTTACATGTGACACATATGACAGGGTGCCTAAGGCTTAAGTCTAACAAACACAGTAGTCTCCCTAACACAGGAACAAATGGATGCCGTGGCAAGTTGAACATTTCTTTTCATGCACCATGGCTCTCTTTAAGAGCCCAATATGAGCACCAAAGTCATAATTTAAATCTTTCACTGAATGGTCAATGGATGGTTAACTTTTAAGGTTGACAATATGAAGTTTTGCACTATTAATAGTGAAGTCAGAACTCAGTACAATCAGAACACATGGATATTTGCACCCTTCAACAGATAAAATATCCAGGATATTTCATGACCATAAAAAAGTGGTAAAATTTTCTATCAATAAAAAAACTTTCTGAATATAAGTGATCACTTGAAATGCTAATGTGAAACATCCTATTTATCATGTTTATCTCAGCCTCTATCATCTGTATTTAACTATTTAATATTTACATACATGTATCAAAAATTGCCAAACAAAATAGCAAATTAAATGAAGAACATATTTTGAGTGTATTTCTCTTGTCAAAGAAATAAAAAATCATTTATCCTCTCTAATGTCAAATTTTGACAGATTACAAATACATCCTTGTATTCAAAGCACTTCAAAATACTATTAGCTTAACAATGTACAGGAAATTACTTAAAATATTCAGAGATAACAGTTTTTCAGTTGTTTGTTGGTAAAGCTTCCTGATCAAATACAAATCTTAGTCATATGCATTCTAATATATTTGGTTTTATTATATCACAAAAGTTTGAACACTGATTATTTAGAAGGTCAAGGAACTCAAAATGATAATAATTATTTATTTATCAGATAAAATAAGAATTTTGCTTGAATATTAAGTTATACACAAGAATTTTGTAAATGTGTTATACTCAATTTGAGAATATTTCTTGTAAAAGATATACCTTTAGAGGTGAAATATATTTATCTGCTGGTCTATTACAAGAAATAAAAGAAATTAAACCAGTCTGAGCTAAAATGGATAAAATAAACTTTTGTATGTTAACCCAACTGGCTTTGAGATGATTTAGAATATTTTTTATTAAAGGTTGCATAAGTTAACAGTCTTTAGAGCAACTTTCAAAAAGTCTGTCTTACTCAGTATCTTTTGACTCTCGTATCATTGATCAGCCATGCCTACAGCTATTTTCTAGAAATCTGAAATATTAGCTTATTAAAGGAAATACAGATATTTAAACACTTAAAAAACAATAAATCTGGATATTCAAAAATTATTCCTGCCTTTCTCAAAAAGTCTTATAAAGAACCCAATATTAACTGATGCAATTTTGTCAGCTTTTTATCTCTGATTTTACCTTTAAAGATCTTCCACATCACATGATATTTTTCAAAAAGTCTTCACATATAATTTCAGAACAAATGGAATGGTCCGCTGATGGGTGTACTTGTGTATATACATGGAGGGTCATGGTTTGAAGGGACATCTGAAATGTACAATGCAGGAGGTCTTGCCAGAAAAGGTGTTGTGGTGGTCACAATTAACTACAGAATTGGCGCTCTAGGTTAGTTAGCACATACGAGGTCTGATCATAAAGTTCTCATAATATCTCTCTATCTTTTTATTTTTCAATATTTTCCTATGAAATTTTCACAGAATGTGCAGCATAGAATGTTTTATTAATCCAGCAAAAACATTTAGAATAACAGAAACATTAAATAAGAAATGGTTGCCATAGTAACTTGAAATCAAGGCACCTGGGGCAAATACAAAAACTAGCTAGAATAGCCCCCATTAACCATGTTTAAATACATAATACGTTGTCAAATAAGCTATCAAACACATTAAATTGTCAAATAATATGTACTCCTGACTGTTGTGAACTATTATAATAGTCATGCGAGTTGTGTGATCTCATAATGGATGATTGTTATGCTTCGTTAGAAGTGACTGCTAGACCCCATGACTGTTTTGACCACAGGGTGTAATTTTGCTGATATCTGAGCAATATATTTGTTTTAGATCATGTTTAGTCTGACAGAGGATCTTACAAACTTAACATTACATTTTATCAGTATGAATTTTATTTTTCTGAAGATCTCTGTATCTATTGCATTCTCTTACTCAGTCATTTCTGATCATTAGCTTTGAGTCTCAGACTCTGGTATCACATCTAATGAAGCATGAAAGCATCCCCTATGACATCACACAATTTACATGATAATTTTATTTAATTGTTAAAGCACTGAACAACATATTCAAGTTAACATTTTAAGGTGTTTGGTAATACACGAGAGTTCATTATGTATGTAAACATGGTTAATTAAGCTCATTCTCTCAATTACTTTTATTTGCCCCCGGTGCCTTGATTTCTGGTTACTATGGCAACCATTTCTTCTTTAATATTTCTGTTTAACTAAATATTTTTACTGAATTAATAAGACATTCTATGCTGCACATTCTGTGAAAATTTCATTAGAATATATTTAAAAATAAAGAAATTAGAAAGATATTATGAGAACTTTATGATCAACCCTCGTATATGGGTACCAATGTCCAAACCCTACCATACTATACCATTTACATTCTCTCTGTATGACCTTGAGCTACATGCATTAGAAACTGAAGTTCTTGTTTATCCATGATATGGCCAGTAAATAACTGGTATAATGGTCTGGATAGAGGATCCATAACAGCTCACAACCATGCAAAAACAGAAGCAAACTGTGTATCAGAAACAGAAAAAGCTCACAATATCTTTTCATAAATCAATTTGATTTGATTTTATCATGCAGGCTGGATGACCACAGAGGAAAGTGATTACCCAGGTAATATGGGAATGCTTGACCAACAGATGGCGCTGAGGTGGGTGCAGAATAACATAGCATTGTTCTGGGGAGACCCAACCAAAGTGACGCTAAATGGACATAGTGTGGGAGGCGCATCCACACAGTATCACATGATGATGCCTGCCTCAAAAGGTAAGATTGCAGAGTAACCGGCCAATGAGAAAGTTTTATTTAAGGGTGATGCACAATATTTTTTGCCAAAACAGGCCCACAGTTAACAAACATTGTCTAATACCACGTATATACCTGTAGTTGTTTGAACAAATATAGACACATGATATGTAATTGACAATTTACAGTGAATTCTAAATTACTGTACATTGTATATTGGAAATATTGTATAAAACAAACATATACAAATGGAAAATTAAAAAAATAAATGATATTTGCATGCTTATAGGACTCTTCAATAATGTGATATCAAGTGATGGAGTTGCTTCGTTCTCTTGGCAAAATGATGCTCCTGGAGACCAAAGGCGCTACATGATTGCCTTGGCAACAACCCTCAACTGTAGCACAACCAGCAACCAAGTAATTGTTGATTGCCTCAGGACCAAAGATGCACAAACCATAGCAACTATCTCCATACAAGGGGTAAGTCATTGATAATGCTGTGTTACAATTAAACACTGATAAGTATTGTATGTACAGTGCCGTCACCATCAGGCTCTAAACCCAAAAGAAGCCAAGCGGAATATAAGTCTACCAATGGATATCGTTTTTAGAGTTTTTTCAAGAACCAACCTACATGAAAATTTTTCTATAAAATTTTTGCAAGCCTGCAACTATCCAATCGCAATTTTTTAAGGTGCCATCTGACCTGTCACCATGGCGACCAGTTGTGGATGGAACCATCTTGCCTAAGCCTACAACAGAGCTGTGGACAAGTGGAGACATTCGCAAAGTGAACCATATGATAACATCTGAGAGAAACATTGCTAGTGATCAGATTGGTAAGTCTAAAGAGAGATGGGGTCTTTGTAACACCCTAGATTCAGTTATCATATTACTGAGAGCCATGATTATAATTATGAATCTTTAATCTCAACAGCCTTATCTCAATAGCCTAAAAAATTATTTGATCCCCTCAAATATACATAGATACATATTACCTCAATATGGTAATATGTATATCTCAAAAGAAAAATATAAACTTTATTATATTCACAAAATAAACAATAAATATACTTTTGCATATTTACATATAGGTCGGATCCCTGGTGTTGAAAATGGCATATCAGAGGCCACATTCAGAGCTATAATGATGGGCTATGGTGAGATGTTCTTCCCCAAAGACAAAGTTCCAGCAATCATAGAGATGGCAATATTCCATTACAATAACTGGCAAGAACCCAAAACCCCTGCTACATTTAGAACTATGCTCAGAGATGTACGTTTATTTCATTCAGTTTCTATTTCCAATTATAACAATTACGGATCGGATATAGCATGTAAAATATGGATTGGGTTGAGTACGTAGAAAAAATGGAATTTTTACAAACTTTTTTTCTGTTGTCTCTTATTAAAACTGTGTGCAATTGTGCACTACAATGTCATCATTCCTATTTTTTGAAAAAAACAATCTGTTTTTAGATCTTAGGAGATTTCTTGACAACAATGAGTAACACACGTGTGAGAAGAACATACCAAGGACGAATAAATAATACTGCAGCGAATCTCTACTCAGTTTACTATGGATACAGGACAGAAAACAGCCCTTATCCAGCATGGTGGGGTAGGTCTAAAAACTGTTTGAATAGAAATCAACACACATTTTTAATAAATAAGAATATGTATAAAGTTCCCAACAAGTAACATTCTTTTAAATCATAAATTGTCCTTTATTGTGTTGTATTGTAATTTTGGGCACCGCCATATTTTTAAAGACAGAGCAATTAGAGGAGCCCTGTGTTATTTTATGTGCATGGATACACAGACATACAAGCACACACCACAGCCTTTTTAGGAGTTGCATGGCACTCAGTCAAATACAGAGAAAATTCGTCTGAACCAGGATTTGAAAATGGGGCCAAGTGAAAGTGGTAACCTTGACTCTGCCAATGAGCTATAGCAGGTGGACTGTAGCCAAAAAAACATTAACTTATTTTCACTTATTATGATACATTCTCATATCTCTATGAGATAACTAAATTATTTTAACAAAATTTCGTTTTCCCATCAGGCACCCAGCATTCAGCCAGTACTTTCTACATATTTGGAGACCCTTACAATAATTCTGTGATTTACCAGCCTTCAAACAAGCCGAGTCCTGTAACAATCACCTTCACCCAGCGAGACAAAACCATGTGCGATAAAGTACAAGCTCTTTGGGTGAACTTCATAAACACTGGGTAAGGAGTGAATCTAGTAAGCTTATATTAGATCTTGGGCTTTTCAGTGATACCATTGGTACAGTATTGTAGCACAAATCCCCTTTACCCCCCCCCCCAAAAAAAATAGACTAAAGATTTGTGAAACAATTCTGAGAATTATAGCAATTCAGCATATTTAACAGTACTTAATAAATTGTACTTGATTTAAAGCACTGGTTTTTAATATTAAGCTTGTTCAACATCATTTTCAGTATAAGGCTGCTATTAGAAAAATTCCATCAATAACTCTACCAAAAACCAAAAATTCATTTAATCCTGGCCTCAATGCTCCAGTGATGCACTTAGTTTATCTAATTAATTCACTCAATGTCTAATCTTTAACCTTTGTCATAAAAAGCAGATAACCTACACAAAGTTTAAGACAATTGTTATCTTTCTCATAGATACACGAATACATATTATTTGTATCTGTTCAGTCTTAATTTCATTGTTACATACATACAAGTATTATCGCCAAGTGGCTTAAATGCTAGCAATATGTCACATTACTGATGGCCCCCTTGAGTCTTGTTACTAATTTAATCAATCCTTTTTTCAGGAACCCTACCATCAACTCGATAGGTGGCGTAACACTACCAGGATTTGGCTCTCAAGAAAACTATTTGGACATTGATGAAACTGGAAATATGGCCGCAAAAATGAAATGGAGGAACAAATACTTTGAGTTCTTCAATTCTCATTTACCAAATATGTTCAAGTTTATAAATGCACCAACAACTTGTCCAGTTGCACCAACACCAACAAGTTCTGCTGCATCCACCCTCAGTTCTATAATCTTAACAGTTTCTGCTCTGTTGGCATACACAGCATAATGTTTATATTTTTTACCTACAACCTTGATTTTATCTAAGTGTATATGTAGTCCATAATACACCAGGAGAGAATAGGCAAATGACAAGAGGTTATCAGGGTACAAAATGGAAGATCTAAGTTAATATTATAAATGTGTTTTAAGGTAATATTGTAAATGAGTTTTAAGGTTAGTATAGTAAAAATAAGTTGTTGTTCAGATATCTATTTCCCTATCCTCAATTACATATTCAGAGTTCCTTTTATGGAAACTGACATACATTGATATGTGAAGATCTTGAATAGATGTTCAGTTTGAGCCTTGGCAAGAGAATTGGGAAGATGTGAATAAATATCTTATAAAACATAGTCTCATATAATGTGAATAAATATCTATAAAAACATAGTCTCATATATGGTGGAGCTGAAGACGATCAATGTGTACCTCATCAATGAATGGAATCTAATTATAATCTCCGTTTTAATCATCAGAGACATACAATCATGGCAAAAGCCCATATTAAATTAGATAAATTTGATGGTGTATCTGATGGTGTTCGATGGTTCGAAGACTTAACCTCATTCATTTTGCTTAATAAAATAGAAGATGGTCAAAGGAGAGACATTTTAAAACTTTACCTTAAAGATGGAGCCAGAACATGGCTGGAGGCTATGCCAATAGACATTACCTGGGCAGACTTGAAGAAGGCCTTCGAAGCCCGTTTTCAAATCAAGCAGTATAACACTGCTGAATTGAGCACACTACTATCATCTGGTACGTTGAAGATGCTACCAGACGAGTCCGTTAGATCATTTGTCACCCGTGTGAGCGAAATTCTTAGAGGAGCCAAAGATCAACTGACACCACAGCAGATCGTTAACATAATAGCAAATGGACTCCCACAGTCTATTAGAAATCACGTCGTGGCGCAAGATCCGAAAAGCGTCAATGACATTATAACCACAGCAAGTTTATTCAGCACTACGGAAGGGGACGATGCCTCAAAGACCTTGATTGCGCGGCTAGAGGGTATCATCGATGCGAAAACAGAACAGATAGCAGCAATGGTACTGAGTAAGACTGCAGCAGACATTTCGATTCGCAATTTACTCATTAAGTAAATTAAAATGAATGATTTTCAATATTAAAAGGAAAATATATGCCATTTATTAATGAGTTACTATATTTATATTTCATGAAGGGAAAGAGCATAGTAAGGGTACAAAATGTATTCTAAAAACATTTTTAAATCTGGTCTCTTCAATTTTTCAAATGTCATCATCAATCAAATTGAAATATTATTGGCCAAAAATGTATGCAGCTATATGTGAATATGTCCAAACATGTGATCGCTGTCAAAAAGCTAAGAGAGTAGGATCAGGGGTTCATGCAGACCTTATTCCATTGCCAATTGAAGGGAGGTTTGAAAGATGGCATTTAGATCTATTGGGTCCTCTTAAAGAAAACAAAGAAGGGTATAGGTATATTCTTCTATGTGTAGATTCATTTACACATTGGCCTGAAGCCTTTGCACTAAAAACTCAAACAGCTTCAGAGATAGCTAGGGTTTTGTTTCAAGAGATTTATGCAAGATTTGGTGCCATAAAGCGAATAGTAACAGATAGGGGGCGAAATTTTTTGTCTGAATTGGTTAGGGAATTGAATAAATTGTTGAATATTGAACACAGCAAAACTACCGCTTATAATCCAGCTTGTAATTCAGTCTGTGAAAGGACAAATAGCACAATTGCTCAAGGTTTGCGTGCATATTGTGCACAAAAACAACATGAATGGCCTCACTTTTTACACAGTGTTCTGATGGCATATAGGTTTACTCCTGCATTGAAATCAACTCAAATGTCTCCATATTATATGGTTTTTGGTAAGAATATGACTCTTCCAATTGATTGTGCTTTAATACCCAATGATACTCTGAGTTTTGAAGCAAATGAACAGCTTCGACAGGTGCAACAAAATTTGAATGATGCTACAGCATTAGCAGCTAGAAATATGGCACAAGCTCAGGATATTTATAAGAAATATCATGATAGGAGAACTAGTCAAGAGACATTTAAGGTGAATGACAAGGTGTTAGTAATAAATAAATCACAGCACCCAGGAAAACTAGATGATAAGTGGGAAGGTCCATATGAGGTTACTAAAGTCTGTATCAGTAATGCTTTTGAGATCAGAAAGTGTGATAATCATGATGTCAAAGCTAAAGTAAATTTCAAGTTATTAAAACGATATCATGACAAGGAAGGCAGGAAACATGTGTATGACAAAGAAATTCCTGAAGGGGTCATTGATGTTATCGATAGGCAAAATAACAAACGAAACAAAACAAGTACAAAATCTACAAAAGTAGTTAAAATAAACAAATGTACTAGGTATAAGGGTGACATGTGGTACAATGTTAGATTTGAAAATGGTCGTACCGGGGACATTCTGGCACGCAAGGTACCAGAAGAAATGAAAAGGTCCTTTCATGATAAGTTTACCTATGCTGGAAAGGTAAAACAGGCATATAGAAAGCAAGATAAACATTAAAAATCGGGATATATATATATATTGTGTGTGTTATATAATATTATTATAATTAAGTATTAACGTATGGTGTGATATTATAAAAAGGAGTAGCCATGTTGTCACAGCTTGGTCATTTTATTTGGTTATTGACCCACCAGAAATATTTCAACAACCTGCAAAGGCCACGTAGAGTTGTCGTTATAATTTCCAAATCATAAGCATTTGATATTCTTTGCTTTCAGTGGGATCAAAGCCAAGGGTGACTATCCTGTGGGCAACTTTGATTGGTATTTTGTGCTTTAGTGCACAGTGTCATGCAGATGACCTCACACTTAATAGGTTAAACTATGGTGTGAAATTTACCAAAGAAATGGAAATTGGTGCTACTGCTGACAAATGGTGGCATACCATTGAGATACCATTACCACGTGAGGAGGATATCATTATGAATCCTATTAAGAACTTGTCATGTAATAAAATGACATGTGAACTTATTAAAGAGTCACGGAACATAACACATCTCCTGAATCATGGGATGACCAGCAAATTACGGTCTTTAAAAACCAAATTAAAAACTGTATTGCCAAGTTTAGCTGTGAAGGGCAGTAGGCATTCTAGAGGTCTATTGCCTTTTGTTGCGGAAATAACAAAGGGGTTGTGTTCTCTTTTCATATTACCCTTATGTATGTGATAGTTATACAAATGAAAACATGTCAAGTAAAATAAAATATTATCTGCCCAACACAAGAAAAGATATTTCACTTTTTTAGGTTTTACAACATGGGGTCTATGGGGAATCTCCCCGACCTAGATGTCACAATTTCAAACAAAATTAAATTTTCAAAGTTGATAAACTCTTTCCAAAACCACATTTCTAGATGTAATTTTACATGTTGATTCCAAATATGACATCAGTTTGACTGAATTGTGAATTTTTAATGACGTAAATCAAGATTATTTCTACTCGCATCTAGTCTATTGAGTTGATACGGTTACTAACTACATGTATGGCATCACTTGGCTATATGAGTTTTAGGATATTGGGATTATCCCTAAGCAAGTATAATATATCTATAAGAGGGCTAGAGATATCCCTAATTTAGGTAGCTAATCACCATTTTGATTAATGATTATAGGATTACATTTCCAACCCTGACATCAAATTTTGTAAATATAGCTGAAAGATTGAATAAAGAAATAAAAAGAGATGTTTCAAATGTGTATGTGCATCAATATATATTTGGATCACTGATGGTTACTGGTTACATACAATTCCTTTCAATTCTGATTTCTTTGACCTATAAGTATATACTCATCAAGGTCAGAGAAGTCAATATCAATATTGGAATTAGACACCATCCCCATCCATTCAGATGACGTCATCAGCCACTGCTTCCTTTCACTTACAGTTTAGTGTTCCAATACTTCAATTAATAATTGCTTTACCTTTACAGTACCTGACCTTGATCCTTTTTTAACACAATACATGTATATGCTCTGCTGCACATTGTAATGAAATGCTTGTAAATATTTTGATGGAACAATAAACTTACTTACTTTACTTAACTTCCACCATTTGTGTTGGGACTACAACATTTATATTTTTGGGGACAGATAAAAAGAAGAACATATAAGAACACAAATGTGTACAAAATGTCCCCACCTATGGGTGATCCCTTCAAATGGTTATCCTAAAAATGAGTAGACAAGACTTTACCGACACAATTTGAGGATGGAAAATCCAAAATGGCCACCTTAAAATTTACCCAGAATGCCAAAAAACTAATCAGATCTAGATTTTCATACTAAGAATCATCCCTGAAAATTTGAAATTGATCCGTCACAGAGTTAACCAGAAAACATGTAAACAAGACTTTACAGACAAGATTTGAGGACAGAAAATCAAAAATGGCTGCCTTGACATCTATCCAGAATGCCCAAAAAATTGAAAAAACTAATGTGTTTTAGATTTTCATACTAAGAATCATCCCTGAAAATTTGAAATTGATCTACCAAACGGTTCACCTGGAAATGCGTAGACAAGACTTTACAAACAAGATTTTAGGACAGAAAATCCAAAATGACTGCCTTGATATTTACCCAGAATGCCCAAAAACTAATCAGATCTAGATTTTCATACTAAGAATCATCCCTGAAAATTTGAAATTGATCTACCAAACAGTTCACCTAAAAACTAGTAGACAAGACTTTACGGGCAAGATTTTAAGACGGAAAATCCAAAATGGCTGCCTTGACATTTATCCAGAATGCTAAAAAACTAATCAGATCGAAATTTTCATACTAAGAATCATCCCTGAAAATTTGAAATTGATCTACCAGACAGTTCACCTGGAAATGCGTAGACAAGACTTAACAGACAAGATTTAGGACAGAAAATCCAAAATGGCTGCCTTGACATTTACCCAGAATACCAAAAAACTAATCAGATCTAGATTTTCATACTAAGAATCATCCCTGAAAATTTGAAATTGATCTACCAAACAGTTCACCTAAAAACGCGTAGACAAGACTTTACAGGCAAGATGAGTTTTTATGAGTTTTTGCTGATTTCTTTTAACAAAATTATCACATATAACTACTGTTAGCATTATCATAGGCTTTTACAACAAAGTACACCTGAAATTATTTATAAAGCTACTAAATAGTTAAAGTATGAAAACTGAAAAACACCATTTAATATGATACAAAGTATTATCGCGCGCTAACTTTTCTTAAAACATTCAAAATGGCTGACATAACTGAGCTAACAGGTCCAAAACCTATTCAGATCTAGAATGAAGTGAGCTGAAGAAGATGATAAAGTTTTAAAAGCAACTGTGAAGCCGTTTTTCTTAAAGTTTGCAGACAAGGATTTTAGCATTTGACTTCAAAATGGCCAACAGGAAGAAGGTATCGAGTTAATTTTTTTCATCCACATCTGTATGCACTCATAAGTTACCCCTGAAATCTGTAGCGGTTTTGGAGAAAACTGCCGGACAGACGAAGCTCAGACAGACAGACGGACAGACGGACGTGCCTAGGACGACAATATGGCCCCACACTATGTGGTGGGGACATAAAAAGTGTACACCATGTCCCCTCCAATGGGTCCTACATAGAGTTTTCAACAAGAATGTCCAACACTAATCAGTTGAAAAGACAAGATTTTAGGATGAAAATCCAAAATGACCATCTTAAAATTTACAAAGAATGCCTAAAAACTAAACAGTTCTGGATTTTCAAACAAAGAGTCATCCCTGAAAAACTGAAACCTGAATCCATCAAATAGTTCACGCCAAGACAAGACTTTCCAAACAAGTTTTTAGGATGGAAAATCCATATCATCATTTCTTATATACACTATAAAATCATGCCAATTTTTCAAAATGGGTGACAGGAAGTAGGTTTTTCTACCTCATCTGTACAGTATGTACCCAAATCTTATCTCTCAAAATTTTATCTGTAAAAGTTTTGGAGAAAACTGTTGGAAGGACAGACAGGCGTACCTAGGCTGAAAATATGGTCCCACACTATGTTGTGGTGACATAACAAAATGATTTAATCCATGTTAAAGGTAAAATTAACTTTATTAATCAAACTCTTAAAATGTGTCTGGTACTCAGGTAGGTAACTTTTCAAAGTATTCCCGTCATATTCAAAATCTACCTGTTTAAAACCATCTGGTAGATGGAACTGACAAGATTAACAATGATTCTGATGTCCCTTATATCACACCACATACTGTTATGGCATTAATCTAAGGCCTACTATACCAGTATATGACTGAAGAAATTTACTCGAGTCTCTAGCCAATACTTGGCTAGAGGGGATTTCATCTGGAATACTGTGAACTCCATTTGAAAAAAGCTGGCCGCCGTGTCATAAAGGACGATTCTCGGTTTGGAGAACGAAGTTCATCAATCTAAATGAGCATTATCCCTGCTTCGGACAAATTTGATTTTTTTACATAATATAGATTTGAATGTCTTCTTTTGAATAGTCATAATTTAATTTGGGTAATATTTCTAGATTTTTCGCAAAAAAATATTAGCGCAGTACACTGATGCAAATCTTTCCCCAAATCGAGACTTGTATTTTATTGAATCGGTCTATTTGAGCATTATCCCTGCTTCAGACCAATTTGTTATTTTTACATCTTGTAGATTTAAATGTCCTCTTTTGAATATTCATAGTTTAATTTGGGTAATATTTCTATATTTTTCATGAAAAATTTTTTAGCCCAGGAGGCTGTTCTCCAAACCGAGAATCGTCCTTTATTGAATATTTTAAAAATCGCCAGATAAATAAATCATTAATCAAAACGGACCCCGCTCGGCTCCTTCATGAGATATGACATGATTTCATCAGGATTTCGTCTAAAATTAAAACAAAATGGCTCCAAGAAAAATGGCGATGTTCGAAAACTGGACGAAATGTCGTTAACGTCTGACATTAGTAACTGGCTGTAAATTCTAAGTTAGCGATCCAGAAGATGTGAACTAATACACTGATCACTTTATGTGTGTTTTGGAATTTTTGGTGAGGTAATCAGACCAAAACTCGCAATTCAAATTGTGATGTGAAAATGGCGGACATATGATTTCAAATTTTATGATTACGACATGACCAGTTGTTCATGCAGGAATATATCTTTAATGGAAGGCAACGATACAGTGGCCTTAGAAGAAGGTAAGAAGAAATCCACTGCTATATTTTGGATGTTAACAATCAAACACACCAAAGGGAAGCACAACAAACATTTTCTACACACACACATTGCTCAAAAAAATGTTGGTGGGGTGTTTGCACATTCCCTGTCTCAAAGTCCAAATTACTATATCATCTCTATTCTCGAAATCGCTGTTCCCTCTTCAAAAAAGGAGACGGGAAAATCTTTCCTTATAAGGTCAAAATATTTCCCATGATGCAGTTCGCGGAGGAACAAATTTATACTTCCTTGTTTTCCCTCATAGGTTTAACATGGGGATTTTCACACCTATTTTTCAAACGATATATTCGTTCATATTCCCGTACGAGGGTACAGAAAAAATTATTAGAAACGATTGATCTCTTATTAATCTTAGTATAACAGCTATTTTTTTCATTGTATTGATTCATAGCGTGGTGAAAACAATGATTGAAAAGTGAGAAAATATTCCGGAAGAGAAGGTCACATAATCAGTTGACTAGTCGCCATATTGGAAAAAAACAATTCCATTCGACTTTCAATACTTTCATGCCAATCTTACCGCACTACAAACTGCAACATCAATGCAACAACTGAATAAAAGTATTCATCTTCAAATTACATCATTGAGTTACGTTGAAAACCAACAAATAACTGAGCAGTAGACCAAAGAAGAAACGTCGCTATTATCTAGGTCACTCTGTTCAGTGGTCCGAAAGCAAAGCTTTAGTACTCGTTTCCAAATTTTGTTGTTCATTGTACAATCTTTTATTGATTAAACTCGGTATACTGACTATTAAAGCAATGACAAAGAAGAATACTTCAGATGTTGTCATTGTTTTATTTAGCGTGCGGGTGTAAAAACAAAATTGCGTAATAAGTTTGATTTAGAACTTTCGGGTCACGCAAATAGCTACGCGAAATGCATAGTGAGAAAATATTGACCAATCAAATTTTGTCCTTTTTGACCAATCAAATTTTGTCCTTTTTGAGTGCTTTTTCAGTACATATTTGCGAACGTTCTGATTCAAAGAGCGAATCGCGAAAGGGAGAATTATATGAGTATACTTTTCCTTTAGATAATCACGATGCCCATGTCAAGCAGCGTGCCTACTAGGCACGCAGTTTGAAACTCTGACAAACTGCGCGCATATTTCAAAATTGAAGACGGGGAGGAGTCGACTCCCAAAAAGAGCCAAAATACGAAAAATACAAGGTTAGTCTCGTTCTATAGATAGTACCATTCTGTGAAGATGAACTTAATTTACTCTTAGTACTCAATGTTTTTCCCGATGTTAACCTAGTTATCTCAATACAAGGGTCTTAAGTAACTTCTGTGCTCAAAATTTACAGTGTAAAGTTATATCTTTGTATGTTTATCGTCATATGCCGTTTATTCAGCCATTGTGTCTGTGTATGCTAGAATATATAGGATCACTCCATCTGATTAAAGCAGCATAGTTTGTGTTCAAAACGATAATACGCCATAAACATGATTTAAACATTTTTCTTGTCAAACTGCGCGCCTATATGCACATGTATTTCCCAAACTGCGTGCCTAATTGCCTATCCAAGCTTGTTTTGTATTATTAGAAAACGTAAGCGCCATATGTTAGGCACATATGTGTCTAATAGTAGAACCCTATAATTGAAACACTATGAGAGTCCATCCACCAAATGGTGATCTGAAAATAAAATACTTTCTTTCGTTCCCAACTTAATTGTCACTTCTATTATACATTTTGACTTTCAATATGAAAATCTCATAAAATCTGACGATAAAGCAAAATTTCCAAAGCTATATGAAAAACACCTTTACGTGCCTCTGTAAAAATTTCAATGATAATATGTAGTTTTAATAGTGTATGCGCACAGTTTATAATTTCTGGCTAAAATAGGCGCGCAGTTTGTGGTTTATTTCTTTTTAATCTCCTGATTATCTGTTTTATCTCGAAATATTTTGAATTATACATGATAAATGCGTAAGGAATTAAATATAAAACGAGTCTAAAGTATTTGTCATTTATGTTTAAAGTGCTAGATCAATTAACGTATAAATTCCCGTTAAATCAGTGACGAAAATGCCATTAATCTGCTTATGTTTTAAAACTTAGATTCATTTGCACATAGTTTTTGCTAGTATTTGCAAGATTTGTATATTCGCCACAAAATGAATGCATTGAACAAGAAAACAATGCAGGATAAATGTCCTTAAATTATGTTTGAAAGTACAGACTCCAACTTAAATGATGCAATGTTGTTAGCCACGCAGTTTGTGATCGAAACAAACTGCGCGCCTACATAGGCGCGCAGCTTGACATGGGCACCGTGATAATGCATCAGTCTAACATATATGCCACAATTGAATATATGACTCACTGGCGGATTTTGGGGGCTATGCACCCCCCCCCCCTTTTGATAGGCCCAGAAAAAAATTTAAGGGCCCCAAAATTGATTGGCCGAAAAATTTTGTAAGGCCTCAAAAATGGCCCTTTTGGGCATTTAAATTTGAGGTCAATTTTTGATTTTAGGGGCCCAACATTTCTTCCCAATTTAAAATTTGGGCCCCCGCCTTGCTAGCTTCTGGATCTGCCAGTCTGACTGTCTAAAATATGTTACGATACCTTCAGTTTTCCTTTGATAAAATAAAAATCTCTCTTAAAGGTCAAATGTAAATGGTTAACTTCCAATCATATCTACTTGACGAGTTCTGCTGTGTAAATATTTATGTTGGCAACCATATTTGTGTTAGTGGACAGCATTAAAATTAAACCTACTATACAATCTGCATATATTGCTTTCAAAGAATAAAGATGACAAAACCAATGAAGCTCTGGGACTGTTACAAAGATGAATTTAATGCAGAAGAAAAGTTCAAAATTGTTAATGGGATGAGCTTTAGCCCAGAGGTAACGCACATTGAAGCTGTAAAAAGTATGAACACATATGACAAGATGCGAGATGATGATGTCATAGTATCTTCCTATCCAAGGTCTGGTTAGTATTTAAATAATTTACATGATGCTCAAAACAAATCTACTTGTAACAATGGAACATGTATTTAAACATCTTACTGTTAAAATCAATATCATTCCAGTAGAGTCATGTTCAAAGGACCAGGTATGGTATTGCAAATAATTTTAGACAATCTAGTAAGTAGATAGAAGTAAATAGAATGAATAATTTAAAAAGACAATTTTAAGTTAGTTTAAAACACTTAATTTTATTAAAATCATAGACATTTAATTGCTCAGTTATAGCATACATATTACTCTGCAATTAAACATATTACTCTGCATAATTGCCACAATTATCAATATTTTTTCATTGTAGTACTAACTCTGCAAACTGATCTTGAAATCTAAAATACCTCATTTTGGAATGCTACCAGAACAGCTTTTCTTAAATCATCTGATGTTTGAAAACTGATTCTACTTAGTTCCCATTTAAGTTCATCTATGTAAGTAAAGGTCACTTGGGGCAGGATTGGGGGAATTTGAGGCATGCCCAAGTTGTGGCAGTCCCAAGTCATCCATTATACTGGTTGCAAGGATGGCCTTGAGTGCTAGGGCATTATCTCAGTAAAAACTATTCATCTGTCCCAGTCATATATTTGCTATTGTGATGCTTGGTAAATAATCAAAATAGTGTGTTTGACATCATATATAATACTACATTAGCATTGGCAAAAGGAAACAAGTAAAAACAAATAAAAAATATATTGAAAAAATTTAAAATTATTAAGTCAAAATGAGTTTTATTTCTTTGGCAAAATTGAATTAGAAACTGTGAAATGAACCAATGAAATAGTAGAAGCTTTTTTTTTAAAGTATTAAGTCAGTAATGTTTAGAGAACCACCCTGTATGACCATCTAAAATCATTTGCAATACCATACCTTGTCCTTTAAATCAATATATGATAGTGTATGCCTTCGAATCATGCATTACCCAGAAAATATTGAATGATTTACAGGAACTCATTGGAGCATAGCATTGGTAGACCTAGTGATGCATGGTGGGGATATAGAAACTGTCAAAGATAGACATATTCATGAGAGAAGCACTTGGATGGATATTCCAATGGCAGGTGAGTATTCTTAGGAACAAATAAATGTATGAAACAAGCAGTTATATAAATGATGAATTCTAAATGTCAAATAAAAACTCAGAAAATCACTATTTTGAGGTATCGTTTTTGAATAGACCATTTTCTATATGAATGAAAAAAAAAGATGGCAGTATAGGTGTTGGTATGGTATATTAGAGTCACTCAATTTCCAAGTAGTTCCATTTGGATCAACGTTAAAAAAACATTGGAATGTAACTATGTGATATTATTGACATGTGGATTGTGATTTAAAATTAAAATTGTCATCCTTGAAATGCAGACCTCCTAAAATTTTGAATTATTCCTATTTTGAATAATTAGTCAGGAGTATAAATTTTCCTCCTTAGTGCTTACTGGAAAGGCTGAAATGAGTATAGAAGGTACAAAGGAACAAGAAAACCCCATGGTTGCTGCGGAGAGTGTACCATCACCTCGCCTCCTCTCAACACATCTTACTTATGACTTTATGCCAGAATCAGTTAAACAAGGAAAATGTAAGGTTGGTTTGTTTTACCTCTAGAGGATTTTTAACAGGACCTCACAGGCATATGACGGAGGTTTGAGGGGGTCAAACAAAAAAGACTGGCATGAAATGACAGTTCAATTCTCTCAATAGTCTACTGGACTTTTCATTACTCTTTTGAATACTGGTTTCTAGAGGACCCCAAATTACCAATTGGGAGCCTGGAGGTCTCAACAAGACTCCAGAAAATATTACAAGATATCCAAAATATTACCAAAGGGTTTTATTGATTGTCTGAGGACATATGAGGACTTAGAAGCCAGTAACTGAAAACAAGACTAATGTTGTTCTTTTCTCTTTGGCTAGGTTGTCGTTATACTTAGAAATCCCAAGTCAGTTGTTACAAGTCTTCATGTTTTGAATGATGTACCAGAGTATTACAAAGTTGTGCCTACTATTGACCAAACTATTGAGGCAACATTATTAACAGATGCTCAAGATCAAAGTAAGTAGCTTAGAATAGATCTAAATGGCTGGCAAAAAATAATGCCAGCAATCAATAATATAGCCTGCTTTTTCTCATATATATTGCTTTTGTACATTATTTTGAGCTGACATGTAAATAAATAAAAAATACTGCTGAATAAAAAATATATAAAGAATCTGCATGGAACATATATTTGATCCAAGTCCATATGGTTCTATAAGCTTTAATTACATTTCTATGGAGATCCATCAAGTATGCTTAACATATACCTGTTTACCATGTTCCTTGCTGATTCAAATCTTTTTAAACTATGCTTTTAGACCATTGTGACTTCAAATGTGGTTGAATATTTCCAGTGATATATGGGAGTTGGTTCAATCATGTTAGTAAATGGTGGATGAACAAGGACAAACTGAAAAGAAACATTCACTTCATTTTCTACGAGGATATGAAAAATGTAATTAGTAGCTGTACTTTTTAATTTGCTCAGTTATTTGCAAGTTAGTTTCCCTTGCTTTAGAGGCCAATTCCTAAGCACTGATACTTATGGCATTTCTTTAGCGTCTTTATTTGATTTTTGTTCAATCTATTGAATACTATGTTTGATAATTCATATTTCTTGTTTGATATTGCACTTTTCAATTCAAACTTTAAAGTTCTCGTTCAATTTTTAGTAATGTTTATATTACATGTCTCATCCATGTTTGAATCAATTTTAAAACTAGCCTTGTTACATATCAAACTGAAAAAAGACGATTTGGAAAAGAAAAAACTAAACATCAAAAACCAAGATGTGAGATACTGAAAAAGTCGTTCATTACAGGATTCAATGGTAGCTTCAATGTTCAATTTCAACATTTATTTGAAGTTTTAAACATTATTTTGAATATTTGAAATATATTGAAAAGAATAGTAAATGGCTGTTGAAATTCATATTTCCAGGAGTATATTATGCTACAAGAAAAATTGCCAGATATATTTTAAAAAATTGCAAATTTCAGAACATGGGAGAAGTAATCAAAGGCCTTGCAAAATTCCTGAACAAAGGTATACCAGATGAACAAATTAAGAAAATGGCAGAACATCTTCAATTTGAGCAAATGTTGAAAAATCCCAAAACGGGCAAAGCATTTGAGAACCTTAAATTAACTGATGAAACAATTGAGTTCATGGAATCAGATTCATACAAAGCTGCACATATGAGGAAAGGTCAGTAACACTTTTACTGTGGCCACAAAAGACTCAACCATGATATTCATCATAACAACAAAGGAGTACAGTGTTACATATACATGTACAATGAAATCATAAAATGGTTTGCCTGGAACAGACAACAATATACGATCCTACTTCTGTCCATCTACCCACCAACCTGAACAAATACATTGACAATCTGATTACGTCTTCTATTAAAGATCTTTAGAATGCCTTTTTATATATTCATTATATCTCCTCTTAAAACACGAAGTATGTAGTACAGCAGTTAATAAAAAATCGTACTTTTGCAGGTGTTATAGATGACTGGAAAACAAAGTTGACAGCTTCTCAAAGTAAAAGAATTGATGCATTCCTTGGACCAAGGTTGGAAAAAATTGGGCTGAAATTCCAGTACGAGCAAAGAACTCGTGTCTGTAACATCTTATAGATGTCTTACACATGTTTTGTTTCAAATATGTGTAATCTACGTTGTCATTTAAGTAAATTTTAAATTGTGCCTTATCCTTTATGTAGAAGTTCACAGTTAATAATAATTTGTGTGAAATCTATTTTCTATGTTGTCAAGGACACTTGGTCCTTTAATCACGATTACAAATAATAAAAAGTACACTCCTTTTCTTTGTAATATTTTACACTTCAGTGAATCTTGTTAATTTTGGTCAAGTGATTTCTTCGTCAACCTATTCTATACCGAGTAGAGCAATTCCTGAGGTACTGTGAAGACTTGTAAGTCTGCGGAAGTACTTTTGTGTTAAACTTGTGATGGAATACAAGTTTTGTGTATTAATGGAAAATGGAAAGGTTCTACTTGTATTAATATGTGATCTGAGCAGTTGGAGTACGATGGCGTTTATATCTGTAATCTGTAGATTTTACCCCAATGCAAACATTCTTTTATATTGTAGGTAACACATATATGTACTCAGTAAGATATGATGTTTTGATGAAATAAATTATTTTAACAATAAAAAAACAACTATGAAAAATATTTTGTCTTGTTCCATGTAAAATCAAAATAAGATTGTTTTTAAGGTGAGTGGCTTAAAAAATGACGTCATTGACTCTCCAACATAGATCATTATCTTATTGGCTGATCAGATGGAGTACAAAAATATATGTCTGCACATGCACGAGACGCTACCCGCCATATTGAAAAAAATATTTTCTTAATTTGCTTTCCTCTTTAGTACTTGGCTTTCCTTCAGTATACATTCGATCATATTTTAGGCAAAAAATATTAAAAGAGTAAAACAATGTAATGTTGTATCTGACTTACGTAGTGCCCACATTCTGGCTTGAGTGCTTTCAATTCAATAGAACCTTACATTTGTAGTATAACGTGCAAACAGACGGTCATTCAAAAATACTTCAATGCTTTTTTCATTTTTCCAACCAGTTCCAACCGAAAGTTGTTACTCGTTAGATATATAAACATGTACATGTAGCATGTACGATGGCCAATAACTTTTTTTTTTGGAGCCATTCGATAAAATTACGAGTTCTCTGCACCATGATGACCAATCAAGATTATTCCAATAACTATGTGTTCCTGAGACATTTGTACATCTGGAACTAACAATGTCTACCCAATGTTTGCACATTATTGATGTAATTTATGACTGGAATTGGGAAGACAAAACTTGAGACAACAACAAACAAAATTGCTTGTCACAGTGTTTCGGAGACACTTGTCTATTAAATTTAATACTGCGTGAAAACTTTGGGTAGACATTGTCATTCCTGGATGTCCAAACGTCTCACGAACACATAGCTACTCAAATGATCTTGATTGGACACCATGGTGCAGAAGAATCGTAACTTGACTGAGTGGCTCCAAAAAATTAAGATGGTTATGGGCCACCGTAAGAAGGTTGTTAAAGCATCCGAGCTTCGGAGCATCAGGTTGAAGAAGAACAAAGGCAAAGTTTGTAAGTTATAATCATTATTTCAGGTAAATTATAAAGATATAATAATACGAGGGTTGATCCAAAAGTTCCGAACCGTTTGCTCTAAAAATCTCAATATTTTATGAATATTGTTCATATTTGGCCTCAACCACCCCAAATATAGTAGTTCCATTTTGTGTAAAAATAAACAATTAATTTGACAAGTAACATAGGTATCTGGTTACCATAGCAACATGACAACAGGGTATGTGGAGCAAGAGAATGACACGTTGTAGAGTTGGAAAAAGTTGACATTTGAAGGGTGTATATAGGGTACCAAATGTATTTCAATTTGTTAGTCAAGCCTATTAATCAATTGTTCTTTGATTAGACCAATGCTATATGTTTGATCTGATATCATACAAGCTATAGTTGGCAACTATGATATCATTGACCGGAAGAATTGCCTTGCGCCAAAAGCAGTCAAATTAAAGCATAAAATCCAGTTCGATTTTGACAATACGAAATTCCATACCTCAATACTAACTCAAACGTCAATGAAAATATGCACATGCCTTGGCTTACCCTTGCATCCTTCTCACTATATCTGCCTCCCTCTGACATTTATCTTTATAGTGACCTGAAGTACTTACAAGACAAGACATGCTTTTGAATATTAAATGAAGTCTGTCTTGCTGTTCTTGAGTGGCTTTCTGAGACAGGTGATAGTAAATTTAAAGACGGATTTGATCAAAGGGTCAGCAGATATACTAAGTGTATATAAGGGGATAAGAGACTTTTTTGCGAAATTAAAGATAACAATGAAATATGGACAAATTGAAAAAATAATTGGTTAATAGACAGGCATGACTGACACATATTTGAAATTTGGTACCCTGTAACACTCTTTTAGAATCAACTTTTTTCCACCTCTACAATGTGTCGTTCTCTTGCTCCACATACCCTGTTGTCGTGTTACTATGGAAACCAGATACCTATGTTGCTGGTCAAATGTATTGCTTATTTTTACACAAAATGAAACTACTTTATATGGGGTGGTTGTGGCCAAATATGAACAGTTTTCATAAAGTATTAAGATTTTTAGAGCAAACGGTTCGGAACTTTTGGATCAACCCTCGTATATCAGAAATTACATATAAGCAAGAGAAGAACAGCTTGCCTTACTGAACACAGCTGGCTGTCAGCTCAGTAGAACAAATGGCTGTCTGCTGAGAAGCTCATACCCGCCCCTGTTGTATTTTTACCGCCCGTACTTCTCTTTATCCTATGCCAAGTAGAGTTTTAGGGAGATAAGTTGGTAAGATATATCCCGTATCCTGATTTTGAGGTTTCCATATCCAGAACCTCCGTATCACCCGCCATATCTCCCGCTTGTGCGTATCTTCCTGCTTCGGTGCATATCTTCCCGCTTCCGATAAGTAGTGGAAATGCAATAAAATGACTTTGCATATGAATGATTTGTTTATTTTTACACCTTGTACTATTGAAATGACCATATGCAACAAGATCTCCAACCATCCCGTATTTTTAATACCCTACCCCCAAGAGTGTAATAAAGTATTTCTTGACAATTTAACACCATCTTTTATTTATCTATAGTAAATTAATGATAGGAATATGATATTAACCAAGGGAGGTGCATAATAAAATAAATACTGGATGACCATGAGGTGGATATGCCAGAATACCTATCCTCGAAAAAAAATACTAGGCTCGGCTTCGCCTCACCTATACTAGTATTTTTTCCTCGGATAGGTATTCTGGCATATCCATCTCATGGTCATCCAGTGTTTGTTTAGTACACATCAACTGGTTTAGATGTCTTGTGCAAAAAGGTTTGTTTAAAGTTGAAGTGGTTTATGTGAGGCAAATACCAACAAGTGCTGAGAAGCCTGTTTCAAAACAATCGGGGGAGGGGGGAGTATGCAGAACAAAATACTAGGCCTAGATCTACTTATTTGCAGATCCCGGATTTCTGAAAGTTTCAACCTCCTCTTTTAATATTAGTTAACCAGGCCCATATTACATGTATTATGTGTTTCTTAAATGAGTATTTTACAATAGCGGGCGGCCCATTCTTTAGGCTGTGATGACAATTTACAACTGCACAGATTGGCATTTTTCCTCTGTCATCCAATAATGCCTACTATGGCGAGAGAGTCGATGACGTCGCATCTCGGGAGAGTCAATGGCAGACAGCTACAGTACGCATGGGCAATAATCAAGTGCAGTTGACTTTGAGTTATAATATAACAAACAAGAAGATGTCAACCCCCAAATGTTTTATTATTGTAATAAAGGTACACAAGGTTTATGGCAAGTGATTTTAGACAGTCGTACGTTTCACCATGAGTACTTCTCAATTCAAATATGACACTGACTTCTCATTAACACAATATATTACCTTTTATGTAAATTCCCAAGGATAACCCCCCCCCCCAAAAAAAAAGAATATATACTAAAGGTTTGAGAAACAATGCTGAAGGTTTATAGCAGGCCTGTCAACTGTCCCGCAATTTGCGTATTTGTCACGCATTTGCTGAAGAATTTGAAGTCACGCCAGTCATTTTTGCGTGACAGAAAATGTCACGCAAATACGCATTTTACCTGGTAATTGTCAAGCAAAAATATTTCTGTAGAAAAATTTCTAAAAAAGTTTGTCTACACAGCATAAATACGAACGGCGAAAAAAAAAACGTACGCATTTCGTTCGGACTTTTCACGCGAATCACGTATATGTCACGCATTCTGTTCGAAATTTTTCGTACCTACCCCAAGTAAACCAAGGTGTTTCGATCAAGGTGTTCAGATTTGGACCAAGGTGTCCACATTTAGAGGGGAGGTGTTCAACATTTCCAAGTCACTCATGTTAGGTGTTCCCAAGTTGACAGGCCTGTTATAGCCATTCAGCATTTAACAATACATATATGGTAGCATGATGGTCAATGAAAGAAAACTGTATCAAAGGAAAAACATTATTAATAGCATAATGATTAGTCAAATAGGTGTAGCAGGTCAAAATGCTGACTTTAAGCTTTGAACAAAAATGATTTTACCACATGTCCGAAGGAACTCTACTATACCTTGCATTTGGTGTTCATGAGCAACCCATTTGGCTTATTAGTAATGATAATGTATTTGTTTTATTTGTCTGTCCCTTATTAATGGTTTATCGGTTGAATGTTAGATGTTACTAAGGCACTTGCAAAAACATTCTAAACAATACAATTAGACAAAGTATCTTATGCATTTCTAGGTTTTAAGTATAGTAGAGTGTTAATGAATTGTACATCTAAAGCACTGTTTTCTTATATTCAACTTATTTCTCAACATCATTGTTCAAAGGCTGCTGAAGAAAAACTATCAATAATTCACCAAAAATTCATTGAATCCTGGCCTCAATGTTCCAGTGAATCACTCAGTTTATCTTATTAATTTACTCAACCTTTGTAATAAAAAGCAGATAACTAAGACCTACTAAAAGTTTAAAGTGTGCGCCTGACCCGGCTACGTATAGCACAGAGTTTATACTGGCGGATTAGACTAGTTCATTTTTTATATGTGTGTGAAAGCTTTCTCATATTTGCGTTTTTTCGTTTAGTACGGTTCTGTTATAATTGCCGAGGTCATATAACCGGGATAAAACAATGATTATCGTTGACTGCCAACACATAAAACATACGTTGAGTGAACAGTGTTATAACAAACAACAGGCTTTAGAATACAAAGCGTAGTGTGATAATAAGCTGTACAGTACCACTGCTGCATGTACATATTACTAATTTACTAGTAGTATGCGCCAAATCGCTTCCAAAGTGGCTTAGTTAGTCTTAATCGATGTTGAGGTAGATTACTAAGAAGTGGCCCATTGTCATTAAAGATTGGTTCATTGACTTTTCATTTTCACTTGTCTGCAGTTAATTAGGTGACACGAAAGGGCTAAACGGCTTGCCCCAAGGTGCAACCGTCAAAAGTATGAGTTTGAAAAAAATCATGTTTTTCAAATAATAGCAGTGAGTATATGAAATAGGAGGCATATTTGATATTGATTTGTATGATAGTCTA